GCCCTGTCAGTGGCATCTCCTTACACAGAGCTGTTTGTGTGGCACTTTGGATTCTCAGAATCCCTCTGACCTCCCCATTACAAAATAGCATGTCCTTTTTAAGTATCAAAAGCCAAGAGCTGGATTAGGAGCCTTGTGAATCACTGTGTGAGCAGTTGCTTGTTTAAACGGGTAAGAATTGGATCAGTTGCTGTTTCAGAAGGTGAATCATAAACTGAGCTGCTGTAGGTCATGGGTTAAGTCATCTCCCAGATGCCTGCTGGCATCCATAAATTCCAAGGCAGAGCATCTTGGAATTCAAGAAGGGAGAGAAGGAATCCCTCAGGTGCTGTGGTGAGGAGAGGAAAGGAGTTAAAAGGATGCAGAAAGAGCTGATGGTGGTGGTGTTTTAAACCCCCTGCTATGAAGTTCCCAGCAGCAGAGTCACGGAGCAGGGGCCATCACTCATCCCCCTGGCAGGGAAGTGCTGGCAGCCGTGTGCTCTGGGGCTGAGCTGGCATCTCGTGCCTGCAGGATGAGGACCTGGTGAAGTGGCAGGCCCTGTTTGAAGAGGTGCCCAAGCAGCTGACGGAAGCAGAGAAGAAGCAGTGGATTGCCAAGCTGTCTGCTGTGTCCCTCAGCTCCGATGCCTTCTTCCCTTTTAGGGATAACGTCGACAGAGCCAAGCGGGTAAGGTCATGGCAGGGCCAGGTGGCTCCAGGGGAGTGGCTGTGCAGCCTGAGCTTTTCATTCTGTGTGCTCTGCTGAGCAAATCCCTGCACTAGGATAGCAGATCCTGGGAAGGATGTTCCTGGTGGTTACTGCTCTCACAGGGACAGTAATTATCCAGTCATTACTCAGTTTGTCGATTTGGGATCAATAGAGGATTAAAGTTGATTAAACCATTTAGGAATATCAAGCCAAGGCTTCCAGAGGAACCATTTTAGGGTTATTTCTGAGCAGCAGAGAGAACTTCCTGCTCCCTTAAGGAGCAGCTTTGGGGATGGAAGCCTTTGTTCAGTGGGATGTGGATGAAGGACTGGGACTGCCAGCTTCTTCTGAGGGGGATTTTGGGTTTCCATCCTCTGATCCTTGCACTCCTCCTCCCTGTCTGTGCAGAGTGGAGTGCAGTTCATCGCCGCCCCGTCGGGCTCAGCTGCCGACGACGTCGTGATCGAGGCCTGCAACGAGCTGGGGATCACCCTCATCCACACCAACCTCCGTCTCTTCCACCACTGAGCCCTCTCTGGGCACAGCCTCACCAGCAGCCAGGACCTGAATGTCACTGGTGCAACTGGGAGGCTCCTGCAGCCTGTGCTTAGCAAGAGTTTGTCACTGTGAAGAGGCCTTTCCCCGTGTTCAGGGGGAAGGAAGTGGTACAGATTGGCTTCCAGTGTAGAAAATCAGTGTCTTTTGCAAATAAACATACAGTTGTTAGCTATGTCCTGTCTATGTGGTCCCTGTCACACAAATTTAGGAAAAAGGTTTATTTTTGAGGTAGTTTTTATTGGTCCAGACTTTACTAATTCATTAGATGACCTGTGGAAGGGTGTGAAAGCCTGGCTTCTGCTCAGCTTCTCGTGGAACTGATAATCTGTGTTGTCCTGAACTACGTTGGGTTGGTTTTTGGAGTCAGCAGGTATTTCTAACCCATTATCCTCTTCCCTGGGAGGAGAGGGGGAGCAGGTCCTTTGCACAAGGCACTCTGGGGTTTGGTGCTCTCAATCCTGCCCTACACCCTGTGCTTTGGCAGTGCTTCACTGCTTTCTCCAAGGTAGGAGACCCATTGACAGGCCAGTCCCCATACTGGGAGCAGAGTTCACAGGCTGGAATGGGGGAAGTGTCTGGAGCCACTTCCCTTTTCTGCTGTCTGCATTAAGCAGATTTGAACTCTTGAAGTTTGGGAAGAAGCAAAGTGAAAATCTGCAGCATGGTGAGAGAAGTGAAGGATGAGCCCAGACATTTTTCCTGGCAATCACCACGCCCATTTCAAAGGGATTTTCTCTTTTCGGTTCCATTTTATAAAATCTGTTCAGTTTTGCCCAGATGCAGCCCAAAGTTTTTCAATAAACACTTCTGTAGGCTGAGCAGGGAGTGTGTACGTGTGCCCTTGGCTCAAGCTGGGCTGCCCAGGTGGGAGATGGACCTGGGAGAGGGGAAATTTGAGGTGTGCTGCTGGCTCTGCTGCTGCCTTGCTGTGACTGTGACCATGGCTTTCATTTTACCTGTTTGATCCAGACTGGTTCAAATGGAGCAAAGCAAAGAGACATTTCCTAGGTGAGTTATTTAAGAGACCATAATCCACACACTGGTTTCCCTTTAACACTGTCATTCCATCTGCCCCTGCTCCAGCCTGAAAGGGAACAGATTCCTCTCTTTCCTGATCTCTACAGTGAATTATTTTGTCTTTTCTGATCTCTACAATGAATTCTTTCCAAGTGGATTAGACAGGACAGGGTAGAGGGCATTCTACCTTTTTGGTGTGGATTAAGACAGCAATCCAAAATAAAAATTGTCCACTTCTTCCTGGCTGGCCCCTTTGCTGTGCTAACCCAAACCCTGCCCTCTGACTTTTCTGTGCTGCTGCTTCCTGTGAATTGTTATCGCTTGGAGTTTCACTTTAAAAGTTGGGGTTTGGGACTCTTCCACAGAGAAGAATCCACAGTGTTCCCTAAATGTCTTCTCTGTGCTGCTGTTGTGGCTAGAACTGGCACAGACCCTGCCACGAGGTTCTCTGGGGAATCTCTGTCCATTCTTCACCTGCATCTTCCACAGCACTGGCTAAAACAGAGCTGGCAGTAAGAATCTGGCAGCTCCTGTTCTGTGTATTCCCCTGATCCTTTCTTTGCTGTCCTTGGGGCACTGTTGGTTTTACTGAAGGGAGTTAGTAGGTACTGATGTTCCAGGTGAGATCTGCACAAGACAGGAAATGTCTACCTCTGCTGATACCTCTCTAGGACCTGGCTGCTGTCTTACTCGTGCTGCATGACTTGCACACATCTCAGCACCTGCACAGGGATAGTTTTGCCTCCTGCTGTGCCTGTGGTAAGGTTAAAGGACAGACAGTTGTTTCCAGGGGGAAAACTGGATTGGTTAATGTCCCAAAGAAGAGTTCTTGATGATCCTGCCTTGCTTGAGTGGATAAAGGTTGAGAAAAATCTCTGGTCTGGTTCCAGGTGTGAGGTGACTTCACAGGAATGTCTCTGGGAATGGTTTGTCCCCTGGGCTGCTGTGACAATTCCAGCTAGCCTGGTACCCTCCCCCTGAAGGGAGCTTCCCCTGGAGCTGAGAGTGGTTGTAGGAAAGGGCTGTGGTGGTCTCAAGGTGTCCCTCCTGAACCCCACCAATCTACTTCTGCCTCGGATGTGGTGGGGATTAAAAGCAGACTCAGCTCTGCTTGGTGTCTGTTTCCCAGAAGGGAATGTAGGGAATGTCCCTTCAGCTGGTGTGTTCTGAGGAGCAGCTGCTGCCAGGCTGGGATTTGCAGTCAACATGTGGCACCTTGCCCCTGGCAGGTCCTGTGCTGGCAGGACAAGAGCTCCCAAAACGTGGAAGTGAACAGAGAACAGGGAGGAATCATTCTGGGCCTTGGCAGGCACTAACAGAGGGGTTTTATTTTTTCCTTCAGCCACCAAGGGACTTTTCCCTGGAGTAGACAGCCCTGACTCTGGTTGTTCCTGGGCTCTACCCAAAGCTGAGCAGACAAACCCTGTGGAGCTGTGCCTCCTCTTCTGGAAAAAGCTGCCAAGGGCTTAAATTCAGCAGGGCTTGGCATAGCTGTGAGCACCCGTGTGCTTTAAGGCACAGACAAACCTCTGCAGGGAGCTTGGGGAAAAGTGCTGTTTCAATTATTTTATCTTGAAATGCTCCCCATTGGGCTGGGGAGGTCTTTGCTGCTGGTACAAGAGATGTGACAGAGGAGAGGAGGAAGGCTAGGACTCCTCTTCAGTGTGTTGGTGTAGTGAATTATTTAGTGACAATGAAAGGATTGTCACAGATTTGCTCTCTGGTCCAAAATACGTAGCCCTCACTTGGGAAAACCAATCTAGTTTAATGGGAAATGACTCCTCTGTGTCTCTGTCTGGGCCAGTTTTAGTTCTCAGGGTTTTTTTGGGATGTGTTTGGCTTTTGAACACAGGTGGGGTAGAACTGACTGTTGCTGCAATCATCCTACTCTTTGCAGGGGTTTTGGGCGCTCTGTAGGCAGCAATCCCCGACAGCAACTTGAAGGCAAATGGTGTTTTCACGTGATGCTTTATTGGGTCAGAGAATCCCAGTGAGTGGAGCAGTACAGTGTGTGTGCAGCCGAGGGGAGGGGGCCGAGCAATCCTGACAGGACCTGTCCTGTTCTGCGTTTGCAAAGGCTGTACAGGTCCTGGCAGCGCAAGCAAAGGGACTCACTGCTGGCTTGGATCACTCTAATCAAGACTGGTTTTGTTTGAAAAGGGTTGTGAGGAACATTTCGTTTACCTCCCTCCCCACCATGAGGTAGAAGCACAGGAGACAAGAAAGGGGCCTGTGCGTGTAACACCCAGGCTCGGACCCAGTTGGTGCCCACCTCCTGCTGGGTTTCAAAGCTTGAAATACATTCAGCTTCACAGGTTTGGACAGTCTCACTAATTCTGGCAACTCAGCCACTGAAAGCTTATTAAGTTCTAGGTATGGAAACAGCTCTAGCTCAGTTCATGTGCAAAAGCAGAGGCTGCTTGCCTTTCCCTCCCTTCCCCTGCTGCCCCAAAGCAAGCCTGTGCCTCCTGCCCGTGCCATACCTACCCACTGTCTGCACTCTACGGGGGCAGGGGTGCAGCTGGAAGCCTTTAATTAACAAACTGCTCTACCAATATCCTCTCCAGGTTTACTTCACTCTTCTTTGGGCTGTTTGTTCCATCTCGTGTCAAGGCAATGTTACTCCAGCTCTGAATCATCCCGCTCAGAATTATCCACCTCAGAATTATCCAGCTGAGAATAATCATCTTCATCCTAAATTCCACGGCAGCAAAGAGAATCACTTAAACTATATGTCTGGTTTGTAAATCTTTTTATTAAAAGAGTTGGTTTCTTTTCTTTTCCACAGTAGTAAAGCTTTGGCACTTACAGTATAAAAATAATCACTGATCATAATTACACCAAATTCCTCTTTTGTCAACTGCATACTAAGTGTCTTCCATACATTTTATTCCCATATAAAAACACTTGAAGGTCAGGGGAACAAAACTGATAAATAACAGTATGAGATATAAAGATACAGCTAGAAAAATACTAGGATCATCAAGAAAGAATTAGGACTGTGCATATTTTAAATATCACAGTGATTGGATTTGCTGTTCCTATCTTATTGCTGGCTGCATGCTTACGTGAAAGCAGAAGTGTTTGGTGGACTTTCCTATCCCTAAACCTCAGCATTGTTGTACTCAAATGTTCTTGCATAGCACAGGAACCGTGGATTTCTACACCCTCCCTCCCCCTCAGTATTTTGGTCCCCCACCAAATTTGTCATTTGGCACCTCTCCCCCTCCTCCCCCTTTTTTTTCTTTGCCCCCTTTAAATTTGAAAATATCGACTAGAATTCAACACTTTGAGCAAAACCAAGACAATCGCTACCAATCATGAGAAAAGTCTGAAACACTCCAAGAGTGGCGCTTGGAGAAGCTGTGAGTTGAGCTTAAGCTGGAAAAATGGCTCCAGAGCAGAGGGCCATTCTCACTAGATGCACTTTTGCTAGCATCACTCCAGTTTGGATGGTAATCGTGGCACATAGGGATTTATACTTTGGTTTGTCTGTTGCCATGGCCGCAAGGAGTCTTGCTCGAAGTTACTTTCCCCGTGGATGTTGTGTGTCTGCCTGTACATCTAGGGGCATGAAACACTCAATGGGGCAGTTGACGTTCTGTCAGGAGGGAAGGAAATCAGTTAGAGCTCTGTCCTGGCTGTGCTTTGTGCTGGGAAATCACTCCATGCACTACTGCCTCGGAGCATGCACGAGGCCCTGCTGGGACTGTGGCACTGCCGGTGTGTGTGCAGGGCGAGCTCAAGCAGGTGTGTGTGTGTGTGTGCCGGGGCTGTCATGCACTGCTGGGAGCACGAACCCGCACGCTGCTCCGGCCCTGGAGCCCTGCAGCGACCCCGCCACCTGAGCCAGAATCACAGCAGGACGGGGCAGAGGAGGAAAAGTTGTACTCACGGTGTTGGTGGCCTGGTGGTACCTCTGTGTGAACTGCGTGTAGGTGTGGCCAGCGGAGCCTTCGGGGGCCACCTCCACGCTGGGCCTGCGGCAGTTGTCACAGCGCCAGCCCTGCGGGGACAGAACGGGCCCATCGGTGCCCTGGCCAAGGAGCTGCCAGGGCTCATGGAATCCCAGACTGGGATGGGCTGGGAGGGAGCCTAAAGCTCATCCCATTCCACTCCCCTGCCACGGGTGGTGCCTTCCACTATCCCAGGCTGCTCCAAGCACCATCCAGCCTGGCCTTGGACACTTCCAGGGATCCAGGGGCAGCCACAGCTTCTCTGGGCAACCTCTGCCAGGGCCTCAGCACCCTCACAGGGAAGAATTCCTTCCTAATATCCAATCTAAATCTACCCTCCTTCAGCTTAAAGCCATTAATTCATGGTCATTCATACATGAGGCTGGAGCCACCAGCACCAGTGGGGCTGCTCCTGTTGTGTTACACCACACACTGGTGCAAGTACTTCAGCTCTCCAAATCACTTTTCTTCTTATATGAGCCCATTTTGGCCCTTTCCATGGCCTGAAACCCAGCAGTCTGAGAAGTGCAGCCCAGCACAGCCTCCCCTGTGTCCAACATAACACATCCCCTCCTGCTCACCTGCTGTCCTCCGTAACAAGTGCAGGAGCAGATGGCTCCAAAGTACTCCTTCTGCCACTGCTCCCCAACGTGGTACATCTTCCCATCGTCATAGCACGTGGTCTCATCTGTGGAGGCACAGGCAGAGCTCAGGTGCAGGGCCTGGGCTTGGCTTTAAGCATTCTCAAAGCCTGGTGATCAGAGGAGGAGCCCCTGGGGAAGCGTGCTTCCCTTGTCTGACCAAAGGCTCCCTGACTGGCAGGGGAACATCAGACATGGTCACAGCTCTCCAGACACTTCAACCTACAACAGGGGGGGTATTTTCCTGACAAAAGCAATGCAGTTTAAGCCACAGAGCGAAGGCCAGAGGAGCTTGAGGCGACAGGCCCTGCAGGGAAGTCCAGCTGGGGTAATCCACCCCTCTGACAGCAGTGATGTGTCCCTGGTGTGTAACTCCAGGGCCAGAGGCAGACAGGTGCTCAGTGTGCTGTGACCTGAGCTAACAAGAGGTTTTCTTCTTTTCAAGCTCAGGAATGTGAGATTTCTGCCTTCATCTCTTGTGAGAACAGACTGAAGCTGTCACCAGTTCAGCCTGAATCAGACACACTGATAATCTGCTTGTCCCCCTGGCAGGACAGAGCTGAGATGATGAGACTTCCTGAAGGAGAGCTCAGACTAACAGCAGAAAGACACTTACGAGGTTCACACTTGAATTCTCCTTTTCCATTCCCAAGGCAGGTGCAGCTCATCATCTGACCATTCTCCCCTTGCCTGTCCCACTTCTCCCCAATCTTGTAGTTAACTCCATTGTCATGGCACCACTCTGGAGAAGGCAGAGGAACGAGAATCAGGAGTTATCCCACATGCAGCAGGAGGAAAACAGCTTGGCATTGTCTCAGGAAAGGCAGGAGAAAGAATCTTCTCAGCTCATCTAAGTCCCAAGGAGGAAATGAGTTCAGCTCCTGCAGTTTTTAACTGCTGAAGGCTGTTTCAGCTCTGGCAAATGTGTAGAGGCTCTTGGGGAAAAAGGTAGGATGTGACAGAGAGTGGGGAGAGGAGGTTTGGTTCATAGGAAATGAAAAGAAATGAAAAGGAATTTAATACATGAGGGGCAGGAAAGGAGAGAAAAATATTTAAATGTTCTTTTTTGTGCAAATACCCAGCATAAAATTTACCACAATCTTGCAAGACACAATGGGTAAGCCAAGTGTACTAAATAATGGAATATAAATATTAATCCTGTAAAATAAGCATATTTTCCTGTAAAATTAAGTGTCTTTACACAGACTCCTCTGAATCTATGCAAATTGCAGAAATACTGTCTTTGCTGAGCTTATTCCACAATTTAAAAGCCTAATTTCAATTAGCTGGGTATGTGTTGTGTTAAACTGCTCAATCACAGACTTTTGTTCCATTCCCTTATGTCAAGTTGGATATTTTTCCATGTAAACCACAGTTCTGCAAAGAATAAAACTTAATGCCCTGGGCAGAAGTGTTAGAAAATTAGAAAACTGGTTTTGCAAGCTTGCTTTGCAAAGGCTGCCTGCAACGCAAACCAGACTTACTGTAATACCAGCACTGGCTGCAATACCCACCGAAATCCACACTTTCCCATATATTACCTAGACACATCTGGCAAGCTAAAAAAGCCTGTTATCAATACAATGTTGATTGCTGCTGATGGCAATTCTAGATTAGCTTGCACAGCTCAGAGGTAACCAAAGTTTTCCATCACTTCTCATGATGCAAAACACCACTTTGGTTTAAGGACTTCAGATCCTGCCTTTGTTTGCATCATGTTTTGATCAGGCTGATTCTGTCAAACATGGCACAAGTGCTGGGGGAGAGTGGGGATGAGGATGGTTAACAGCAAGCTACTCACTAGAAGAGTCACATCTGAAATGGCCACTGCCAAAGCCTAAACACTGGCACCAGAGCTTAAAGCCAGTTTCAGATAAGCGCTCCCATTCCTCGCCAATGGAATAGAAGGAGCCAGTGTAAGTATCAAAGCAGGTGTCGTCAGCTGGCTGGTTTAATCCTTCAGACACTGGAACAAAAAGAGGAGAAACAGGCATCACACACAGCAATGGGAACTGCTGAAAGACAAGAATGGTTTTCAGTGAATACACATTTTTTTTCCTCTTGTAATATCCTGGCAGTAATGGAGCTACCCCATGGGCATACACTTGATGGTTGTCAGCAGCCCAGCTCCCTGTGATTTATTTTCCATTTGCATGTGTCAGAGCAGCTGAATGATAAAAAAATCTGACATGAAGGCTATTTTCATTTTGATTTGCCAAGTTTCAAGCAAGTGTGAGTTTTTGCATTTGCTGCTGGTGAGCAACAACTTGACTGTGCCTGGTTTTAGGAGGAAATGTGCTGTGAGATGCTGAGGAACAGCAGGGGGTTGGTAACTGCATGGGCACTTTTTTGGGGTGCTGCAGGTTCTGTGTCATGGCAGGGGGAAGGGAGAAGGAGAGCAGACCCTGTTGCTGGGTGAGTGATTTGTCACCTTAGGTGTGTGTCTTGGCTTTACAACCACCAGTTCAGGGTCCAGAGCTGATGGTCCAGCCTATGACAGATACAAGATACCAGTGACTCAGTCTCCCTTTAAGCACAGATATACCAGACATCTCTTGGGGCCTTGGGGTGTGTCTGGAGCCTCAAAGCACATTCTCTGTGCTTACCCAGCAGCTCAGGACAGCTCTCATCCCACCATCAGCGTGTGTCAGTTATCCAGAGCCAGAGCACCTCACAAATCACTTGCCCCAGTGTCCTGCTATGAACTGTCCTTGTCAGAAGTTTCCTTTCTGAACTGTTGTCAAGCTTGGCTACCAGGTAGGTTACCTTGAGTAAGGGGAATGAGGCAGGGGCTGCACAGGTTCAGCCAGACTCCCTAAGGCTATTCCTTACCAGTATTGCCAACTGTGACCACCTCCTCCAGCACCTTCTGCCTCCGGTGATCCTTCAGGGCTTCCACTATGATGTTGTAGGTGGCCCCTCTTGTAAGACCCTTGAGTGTGGCACTAGAGGAAGTGCCAGGAACCCTGAACTGCAACAAGAGACAATGCCAGGTCACCAGAAAGGTGTGAGGGAATACCCTTTAGGTGTTACCTCTCTCACAGGAATGACAGGGTGTTTAGGATGACCCCTATGCTCTGTACAATGATGGAGCCAGACCGCTCCCCTAAGATACTCTGAGAACTTCAAACAATACCAAGTTAGACTTGGCTACTCTGGACTATGGATCATGAGGGGATAGTTTTGCTATTCCAAGGAAATCAAGGGAGAGTCTTGGACCAGGAAGAGTCTTGTAGCTTGGGGAAGCAGCACCTCAATCTCTGAAACTCCCCCTCAGCTTGCTGCCCCCTTCCCTGGTGAAATGTCACTGCTGACAGCATTTCTAAGTTTTCTGGTTTTGCAGTTTTATCCTGCAGCCTTTTCCATAAAGGAGATGAGGGAGGCTTTCATCCATCCTGGTCTCAGCTATGTGTTCAACAGACTCTTTAGGCTAATTCCTGCCACTCCCTTAGCACACCAAAAGCTCTGGTGCCCCGAGAGACCTCCCCAGGTGAGGCTACACCATCCCTCTGCTGGGACAGCCCCGTTACCTGCAGCGTGTCCTCGTCCTGGCTGACGGGCTGGCAGGAGATGATGTACTCAGAGCTCTCCAGCAGTGGCCTCCAGGAGATGGTGGTGTGAGAAAGGGCTTCCTGCCCCACGCTGTCGTTGCGCGGGGGCCCGCGGGAGTGCGGGTACGAGGGCTCCACCACGATGGGCACCTGGTACCCCGGGATTTCGATGGCTTCATCCACGCTGGGCAGAGGCTGCCTGGATCCCGGCCTGAGGGGAGTGGCTGTGGTGGGCCCAGGCCGCCTGTAGCCGTGCTCCTCAAAGAAGACTTGCTGCCCCTGGTGCCCTACTGTCTGAGGATGCCCAGAGGAGCCTGGAAGTTGGATACCATTGCCATTGTCATACCTATTGTTCGTGAGGTAAGGGGTCCCCTCGTCAATGGAAGGCACATCCAGGATGTCAGGCTGGTTGGGGTGTGGTCTGCTAATCAACGTGGGCAGCTCATCTGGTCAAAGAAAGGTTAGAGGCCATCAAGCAAAGCGTGGCAAATCAAACAGCTGTGTTACAATACTCCAAGCATCGAATATTAGCAATTATCCCAAGATGCAACACACTTTTTATGACCTTGCAGTGACTGTAAAGGTAATTTCCCTCTATCTTTCACACACAGGCATAAGAAGTGTGTTGGTATGAAATTTTCATACAGCTGAGCGATGCTTTTGAACACTGCAACCCAAAGAAGCCACCACCAGTGCTCAAATTGAGAGGAAATAATTACAAGAGATAGCTGCAGGTGATCATTTTATGAGGAATCACTGGTGAGCAGGAAGAAACTTGCACCTTGATCATATTTGGATATCCAGCTGGTATTTTGTTTGCTATAGGTATCTTAATCTTGTACTGTGAAAGTTGCAAATTAAGAGGAATGCAACAGGCAACAAATTGAATGGATTCTGCATTTGATGCCATCAAGTGTTAGACAGTAATGTTAACCCCGATTTAATTATCCATTAGGTACCCAAGCAAGAATCCAGCATCAAGCACATCTGTTGCTAGTGTTCAAACACAGGTAAATGTGATTAATATAAATTTAGAAGTGTACCTCCTGCATCCTTAAAAAGGAAAACCTCCTTACAAAGCCTATTTGACTCAAAGAGAAGGTGTGGCTAAGTAGTGTGAACAGGATATTTTTAAAAACATTATTATTTCAGTCCTCCACAAGTGTCTTCCAGTGTCTTTCACACTGTATTCCCCAAGTGGAAGACATCTGTTGGCAACAACAATCAACAAACAACAACAACCAAACAAAAAACAATCAACAACAAACAACAATCCAGAGCTTTGTTTACCTGTCCTTTTTCTGCCAACCAGTGGTTCACTCTTCTGACTGTTCTTCACAGCAATGATGTAGATGATGTATTCAGTGCCAGGTTCCAAACCTAGGGAGGGAGGAAGGACACAGAAGAATTTTTTAGGAATGGACAGAGTTAGCAGTTGCTTTTCTTTTATGATTAGGTGTGAGAACTAAGGCAGAATGAGAGGTGTGTATGACTACAGTATCAGGTATGTGCATTTCACACCAGAGGTTTTCAGCACAGTGCAGAGAGCTCAGCCCCTCAGAGCAAGTTTGCAATCTGACCATGCCAGCTGGGATCATGGACCCAAACATAAGGGATCTTTAGCACTGGTGAAGTGCCAGAATCAGGGGCTTTTCCTCCTTGAAATAACAACAGTCGTGGTGACAGTGGAAACAAGCACCGGGCTGTTCAAATGTGGTGGCTGTTCTGATCAGTGAGCTAGAACGTGTTTGTAGGACAGGTGTGCTCACAGGACCACCCTCTAGTACTGGAAACCACAATAAAGGAACACAATTGTCTCTATTAGCTAATCATCAATGCATTTTATAACCAGGCCTTCCCTCCCCTCTTGAAATTCAAGTGTTTCAGGTGAAGAGCTCCCAGACAAAACTGAGTTACCAGTAATGGTAGCCTCGGTGGTGCCGGGCCGGGGGCGAGGCACGACCTCCTTGACTGGTGAGCCAGGTTTCTCATATCTGATGATGTAGCCGGTGATCTTGGCTCGGGGAGGCTGCCAGGTGGCCAGCAGGGAGTTGCTCGTGGTCGTAAGGAAGCGCAGGTTAGAAGGAGCATCGATAGCTGGGTGGAAACAAAAGGGTTTAACAAGCCAAATGCAGAAAAGACCAGCATATTCTTCACCTGAGCTACACCTGCCTGACACCCTTCTCAAACCTGTTGCTGTAAGTCACAGAGAATATTAAATTAAATTAAATCATCAGATACAGACAACTCCTAGCTGTGGCCATATGTGATTACTGTGAGTCAACATGAGCAAAAAGGTCAGACAAGATCATTACCAGTGGAGGCATCCAGGACCACCGGGGAGCTGCGTGCATTCTCATTCAGAGTGTACAGGTAGATCTTGTAGTCAGTGCCTGGCTGCAAGCCTAAAATGAAGTTGAAACACAAATGTTAGCTGAGGAGAGGAAGCCACCTAAGATGGCTATCAGAAGGTCTTTCAATAACCCCTTCTTGGAGCCTACTCTTGATCCCTCAGGTATTTTTTCCCACCTTTTGTTCCTATAGTATTTCTCATCACATATTCAATTCCAAAACAAGAACCCAGTGTACTTTCTGATGTGACCCTGCAGCTGCAGAAGCCCTCACTTACCAGTGATAGTGTAACTCCTGAGTTCAGGGCTGATGGTCCTCTGAATGGGGTTCTGGCCGCCTGCAGGGACGGCTTCCACCAGGAAGCCAGTGATGGTCTCAGTCTTGGTCCTCCAGGTGATGGTGATGGTTGTCTCGGTGACATCTGTCACCCTGGGCCTGCGAGGGGGACTCACATCTGCACCACAAGGGAAAGGGGTCCTGTCAGTACAGAGGGGACTGGCAATCTCATCAGCCAAGTGTTGGTGAAGCCTGGGATGGAGCTTGGGACAGAGCCCCACCTTGGACACAGAGCAGGCTCCCGGCCTCTGCACCCACACAGCACTAAGTGGTCATTTGGGGAGGGTCACCACTTACTTTCAAGGGTTGTGACCACCCCCTGGGCTGGTCTGCTGGTCAGGGAGTCCTTCAGGGCATACACACTCACTTCGTACTTGGTTGCCACCTGGAATGGACAGAGTTGTACCACGTTACGAGAAGGACCTGGCACAAGGGGAAATAATCCTGGCCCTAAGTCAGCGTTCAGCTCAGTCACCACTTACTGAAATACCAAACCTTAAAATTAACTGGGGAAGGATTGATGGGATAATTCTAATTATTTCCATCTGTAATAAAAGAGTAGGCATGGACCCTGACACACTGTGCACATGTGCACACTCAGGAGCAGAAGAAATCCTGGAAGAAGCTTATTTACCACCCATCATTTTAGAATCTGTGCTTCAAAGCTGATTCTTCAGAGAAACTCTAATCTCCCTCCTATTTTTCCCAGGGTTAATGGATGCCATTTGCTATGATAAAGAATAAAATAATGTGAATAAAAGAGAACTGTGAAAGGAACAGCATGAGGGATTTTGTCCTTGGCTGCATCAGACCATGAGTCCACCTAGATTAGAATGTTTTTTAAGGCTCATTTTTGAAAATGATTCATAAAACTCCTTAAAAACAGATCAGTAGCTTTTTTAAATTGCAGGAACCATAAAAGCAGTTACTTTCAGCCTTCTCCAGTTCAGGAACTTCTAAAATGTTTACAGTGGAAAAGATGGCGATATAGCAAATTTAAGCCTACTCATGAAAGACTTGCATTTTTGACTTATATTTTGCAGATATCTTAAAAATAGGCAATAGACTGCCAGAGCTCCCATATCACAGCTTGAAATCTCTGCATCAGATCACTTTATCTGACCGCTTTTGTGAAAGACAAGTAAAAGCATTTTGCTGGGTTACTTTTGATTGTGAACCTGGTGATTTGCATTTGATTAGGCATCCAGTCTCTCTGTGTTAGATAAGGAAGGGGGTAGAATGCAGCTTCAGCAGGCCAATTACTTGCCTTTTAAAAAAACTACAGCGCTGAGTAGCTGCAGTCTGACTTGCCCTGAGCTTCAGAGCCAGACCCTTAGGAGCTGTAATGATCAACTGAAGCTCCTGACACGGGAATCTGAAATTTCTTCAAAAATCTCCTTCCCACAACACAAAGAAAAAAGTTACCATCAAGCCAGACACGACTGCAGATGTGCTGTCTGGAGAAAGGTTGATTTCTTTCATAGGACCAGTCTTTTCTTTGGGGTTCACTCTGACCCTGTAGCCAGTGAGGCGAACGTTGGGTGCATTCCAGTTGATGGTGAGACTGGTGGGAGTTACCTGAGTAAACTTCAGGTTTGTTGGAGGTGGAATTGCTGCAGAAATCCAGATTGGCACATGGTTACTTTAAAAAAACAGACAGTCCTGGATAAGACAATATTCTCTCCTGAACATGAGACAGGTTAAGGCCAGGGAAGTGCCTTGTGCAAAGACAGGCATAAAACACCGTGGGAGGGGACATGTTATTCAGGAGGAGATTCCAAAATCTACAGCAACATTTTTCAGCAGAAATAAGGAGATATCGATGCTTCAACCCTGAAGTTACGTGAGCAATGACATTTGCTACAATACAAAGTAAAGGCTTGGGAAGGTGCTTAAATCTCTAGTAGGCCCATCTGTTTTAATTATTCTACCAGTCTCTGCTTTTCATCACACAGCTCACGGTTTAGTCCTGCTCCTCTTGCCCCTGTCTGTCCACTTCTAAAACACGACGGATGATTTACAAAAGTAAGTAGGAAGCAGGCTCAGGAATTGCAGAGAAGATATAAAAACACTGCAAATGGAGAGGGGAAGCATTTTACAGCCACTTACACAGCGAGCAAGGCAATGGAAAAGCAGAGCTGTGGTGGCCATAAGGCTCATCACACCAGAGCCTGTTCATGAGCTAACACATCCACTATCCTTACAAACAAATGCTTGCCTAAAAACAGGAGTGTCCATTGAAATATTTCCTTGCCTTACTGTTGGTAAGACAGGAGCTGTAAATAAATATATCTATATATAAGATACACCTTACCATAAAGATACACCTTACCAAACTGCCCGCTATGGCACATTGCTGTCAAAGCTTTCCAGTTTTACAGAGTGGAAATATAGGATAATTCTGCCTTCTGGCTTTGCTCAGAGCTCAATCTAAAGCCCATGAGAGTCAGTGGAAAGTCTTGAATTACTTCAAATCCACTTTTGAACAGCCCACAAAAGGTAAATCACAGAGGGTGGGTTTGAAAAAGTATTACATTTGCATTTCTGGCAGGTAGTCAAGCCAGCTGTTCCCTCATTACATCACTCTGCTTCAGTTTAGCACAGCAGATCTTTACACTAGGACCCACTGAATTCATTCCACCCCTGGAATTAAAGCACCAACTTTTCAGCCACAAATGAATGGGAGACCTTTATTACACAGGTGCTACCTGTCTTTGTAATAAAGTCACATCTGGTAATGCTGGAAGCTTGCAATGGATTCCACATCACTGGAAGCAATGGTAAGCTAATTCCTTGCAATAATGTTCCTTTTTCATCAAGGAATTTTCAATGCATGGAACTGTAGCTGGATCAGCCTGGCACAGAAGGGACTCTCCTGTGGAGGTGATGAGGGTGCAGGGTGTGGGCATGCAGTGGTCCCTAGGGCAGTGCCAGTGAGGTATCTGCAGGCTCTGTGAGACCTGAGGGTTCAGCAGTCTCCCAGCCCTTCCTGCTCATCTCTGGCTCCAGCAGCAAGGTCCCTGAGGCATGAAAGCTGCCCTCATCTGTCTTGTTGGTCACTGTCTGTGCTTTCAGGTGTCCCATACCTTGAAGGCCAGACACGAGCGTTGTGAGAGCGCTCACCACAGATCAGGCTCTGTGACCAGGGACAGGACACCACTGGACACCCCTCCCTCCTTTCTCTAGGATCTGCTCCTGCAGTCTTGCTCTCTTGCCTGCCTTCCCTGATGTGTATGCAGGCTGACTCTGCTGGCAGGCAGCTCTCTGGCCCCAGCAAAGCCATCCCTCAGGAGCAATCCCATCCCCTGGGCTGCCCCCGGGGCTGTCCCGGCACGGAGCACCGGTTGCACATGGAAGCACACTTTACCCCTCGGGGCAGAAGCCGCTGCTGCCATGGCCTGCTGAGGGTGGTGGGAGCTGTACCTGTGGACTGGGTCCCAGTGAGGGGCAGGCTCTCCATGTCATCGTAAATGGCAACGATATTGATAGTGTACTCAGAACCTGGCCTGAGGCCATGCAGCTCAGCAGTGTCTTCTTCGCCACCTGGGGCCGGCAATAGCTCATGGATTCCATCCTCAGGGCTTGAGTAGGTCACCCTGTACCTGGTGACTTGCCCCTGAGGGCTTTCCCAAGCAATTTTGATGGAATCAACATCCACCTCAGTGAATGTTAGTCCTTTAGGGCGGTCAATGTCTGTTAGGCAAATTAACGGTAAGAGGTTAAGTGATAAAAAGCAGGTCGTGGGTGAGGAAAATAAAAAGCATTTCGATTTCATGCAAAGCGGTTTTCAGTTTGGCATGGCGAGGGGAAACTGGATTCTCCTCTGTGCTGCACCTTGCACACATGCTTACATCCCTAGCCCGGAGTTTGCAGGTGCCAGGCAGCAGGAAGGCAATCTTGGCCTTGTTGAAACCAAAAGGACCTGCATTGCCACCTTCAAAGCAGCCAGGACACCAATTCTCCCCTGTTTTTGAGTGCCCTTGGCACCAAAACCCCTTTCACACAACTCTAGTAGCATTAAGCTACCTTAAAAGTGGACAAGAGAAAAAAAGAAATGGGAATGTTAAGACCCATTTCTCCCATGTAAGTGGTTGCTAGTGCCAAGGGCAGCCAGAGAACCCACCTGGCTCTAAGTTTGGGTTCATGCTGCACTCGCTGTTCGCTACTGTGAGCTGCTGTGCAGGGTGGCAGTCCAAGGAGAATCCATCCCGCTATTTTCTTTCATAAATTAATGTCCAATTAACACACTCATCAAGAAAGCAAAATTACTCAGCTTATTACATTGTAAAATCAGTTAGAAACAAAGTTTTCAGCTTTGTATTGAGTGCACAGGGAATGTCCACAGGTGCAACTGGGTAATATGCACACCTCCCAGTTAAACCAGTTCATGGGATTTTCCTGGCAAGGTGGGAGCTCAGTGCAGGGGAAGTGAGCCTCGTTCCTCAGAAGTCTGGAGTGGCTATCACAGAATTCCACCCATCTGTTACACAAAATGGGAGGATCTGGCATGTAATTTTTACATTGATTCAAAATCACACTTTTCTAAAAAGTTTCATCTTTTTCATTTGCCATGTTGTATTAGTCCTCAATTTTCTGCATTTTCTAGTTGGCAAAGGTGATTTTTGTCCAGGAATTTGTTGGTTTGAATGTGGACTCTTCACTCATCTCTGCAAAGCTCTGGAGAAGCTCCTGCTGTCTGTAATGTTTGAGGCTGAGTCATGTCTCCAGGCTTTAGCAGGGAAATAAGAATCACATAATCCCTACCCCAGAGGTATCCCTCAAAAGCAGTTTACCTCAAACATATCCCTGAATTAAAGTCTTTCTTTTGTCCCTTCTGTGACCAGAGCAAGACTGCTGTTTTGTACACAGCACCTCAGTCCTGGAATTATTCTTTGTTTTGCAGTGCTTCATCTCAAGTTCTTGGTATAACCCATGTGGTTTCCCTTACTCCCTCGCACAGGGCAAGTGCCCCCAAGTCCAGTCCCTTATCAGCAATCACCTTTGCCACCTAGCTCCACACAAAGGAGATCTTGGCACATTTTATCCACTTGGATTGGCTGATGGCAAACAAAGGCCCAAAAGACTTTGTGGCTTTAGTGAAAGAAAATGAGAAGCACAGCACTTTGAGGGGGTGGGAAATTGCATTTTGGCAGTGTTTTGAGGCAGAGGGACTGCGTTTTTGCCAGCATCAGCAGTTTAGGTGCATGGTACTTCTCACAGGGCAGGCCACCTCACGCTCTCCTGGACACCTGGCTTTTGCTTTCCCTGGGAATGTGGTGGTAGGTTCAGACATCAATAGAAAACATGTGTTTGTTCCCATGAAGTGAAATACGTACTGGTGACAGCTGTCTCAACCAAGGGCAGGCTCTCCCCGTTCTGATTCTGAGCATAGACACTGACCATGTACTCCACTGTGGGCTGCAGACCTTCAATTGTCACTTGGGTTTGATCTGGCAGGAAAGAACACCACCATCAGTCAGAAAGAACAGCACAAAGCTGCAGAGAGCTGGCCTCAAAGTAGCCTTGAATTAATGGCCTGTCTAAGCCATACCATGAATAAATGTCATTAAAACAAGGTGGGACTGACAAATTAAATTTGCCTTTAAATTGCACCATGCTTCTCCAGCAGTGCACAACTGCAATCTGTATCTGCTCCAAGGCTCCACAGCTGAAAGGGCAGGCTGGCACAGTGAGTTGAACAAAGTATAGGGAGACAAGCTTTCATCATTTTTTAGGATAAGACTGATCATCAACTCAGCTGCATCACAAGCATCCCCAAGTGCTCTGCTGATCCCACAAAATGCAGTTTTCCTGAGAGCTGACATGGCAGGTCCCACAGGTACTACACTACAAACCTGTAGTGTATGAACCCATGCTGTGACCAAGGGTCACAATATGTGACTTCCACAAGGATTTCAGAGCAAGTTCTGCTGGATGCTGGAAAATCCAGTGGTATTTCTTTGAAATGCAGGTGCTTTTCATGCACACTGAGGCTGCCAAGAACAAACTTTTGCAGTACAGTGGTGGCAAGTATGAAGCTTTTGGGGCAAAAATCTGCCTGAGTTCATCTGTCCTAGATGAGACAGAACTGAAAATCAGCAGGATGGCAAAAAAAGGTACAAGCAGCAGCAGGATTTTAGTGGTCACATCTTGCATTCTTTACAGATCCAGTGAAGGATGGCATGGCTCTTACCTGCAGGGACATTTTTCGTTTTTGTGGGCCCATGTCCCTTCTTGGGGACAGCAGTCACCCGGTACCCTGTGACTGGGGATGCTGAAGGGAGCCATCTGATGCTGATACTGTTGTCCTGGACATCGGTGACTTGCATCTGGGATGGTGTGTCTATTTCTGAGCAACAAAAATATTTGTTCTGAGTATGTTGGTACAGGAAACCCTAGCTCCACTGCTGTGTCCTGGCTGAACTTTATTCTGCACTTGCTTGGAAGAGAAAACACATGTTGCTATTTATTTGTCTCTCATGCTAGCCCACAGCAAAAAAGCCTTAATCGTGATGTGTGGGTGAGTGATCTCATATCAATGTTAGTTGAGGATTTTTGTTATTTTAAAGGCTACTAGATGCCTTTATCTGCAGCTACAGCAGGAGTAGGATTAGGCTATACCCAAATCAGGAGCAAGACAACAGTCTTGGCATTAGAAAGTTAGTTTTCCTCAGGATCCCAATCTGACAGTGAAGCACTAGAGTTAAGCCAGCAGTGACCCCACATTATGAGAGCCCAACAGGATTTCCACTCTGCAGTGAGCTGTTGAGTACTGCATTTATCCCCATCTGCACTCCACAGGCTTCCCCTTCTCCAAATCCACAGTCCCCTCCTGTGGCATGTCAGTTATCATGATACACAAGCCAAAGATACACAGCTCCACTGAAACTGATGGCCTTGGCTTCTGGGAGAAACCAGGGATCAGTGATACGCGTTTATGGGGAAATGCCAACACAAAGGTATGGGGTTTTTTTTGTCTTGTTTGGTTCAATCAGGTCTCACCTGTTCTGTAGGTGACAGTGACTGGCTTGCTGCTGGCAGGGCTGTCTCCACGGCCAGTTACAGCATACACAGTGATGGTGTATTCAACACCAGGCTTGATGCCAGTGATGGTGGCAGTAGACACGGTGCCAGGCACTGTGAACTCCTGTACTGGGCTGCTTCCACCTAGTAAGAGTAGGTTAAGAAAGGCATGTGATGGATCTGTAAAGCATACATTTAAAATCTCTACAAAATGGTCTACAAAATTTAAAATGGTCTACAAAAACCAGGATAGTCCTATATGCATCAACCTGAAGACAGGAGCCTGTTGATTTCAGTGGCTGTTGGGTCAAAGTTGTTTTTACCATTCCAAGGAAAAGAATGAAATACATACACAGAACCACTTCTAAGATTACTGGAATACTCCAGGTGCTCCTTCTTTTGGGTAGACAAAATATGATTTGCTCTTTTTTAAAAAAGGTATTTCAATGTCTGCTAGAGCCCCAGGTGCCTTTGTTATTTGCTTTTTAATGGCCTCAGAATAGAGTGTCTGGTCTGTGGCCATCTGTAGCACACTCCCCTCACCTGTTTCACCATAAGTGATCCGGTAGTATCTGACTGTCACTGCAGGAGCATCCCAGGAAATCTTGAGGCTGGTTGGGCTGGTAGGGGTGACTTCCAAGTCCCTTGGAACATCAGACACTAGAGCAACAGAGAATTGAGAAGGGAGTTTAAACACAGTTGTACATCAGCTACGTACTCCACTTATACCACGCTCCTCTGCTACTGATCTGTCTGTCCTTTGGCTCAGGGCACACTCCCCTCCAAAGAGACCTGTCTGGTTAAAAACCATATGGCATTGGACTAGATTCAATGAAAATAGTTCTGCTGGCCCTAGAAAACATCTGAAAGCAGCATGGGTCCTCCCAGCTTTTTTCTAAAGCAGGCCCTACCTCAGTACACAGGCATTTCCTCATGAGTGAAGCTGCTAGAGAAGATGTGGTTTAACAACAACTACTTTGCTAGAGGACACTCCAAATCCAGCATTCCCTCCAGGCTCACCTGTTGTTTGCTGGCCAACCAAGGGCAGGCTCTCCTCCCTGCCGTTGACAGCGATGATGCTGACCACGTACTCAGTGCCTGGCAGCAGGTTGGTGAGGGTGATGGAGTTCCTGGAGGGGGGCACACGGTCCTCCTTGGGCCGGCCGCCGCCCTGCTCCGGCTGGTAGCGGATCCTGTAGCCCGTGATGGTGGCACGCGGAGCGATCCAGTGCACCGTGAAGGAGTTGGCCGTTATATCCGAGAAGTCCAGGCCAGTGGGGGAATCAAGACCTGGGTGTTTCAAGAGACACGAGGCTGAGCTCAACCAAACTGCTTAAGGCATCATCACAGGGAAAGAAAGTAATCAAGTCCCATTAATGAATTCTCAAAGGATGGCATCAAGCACATGTGTGTCCAAGTACCTGTTTTCTGGATTCCATACAAAGGTGCGCTCTCATGCTGCTCAGAAACGCTGTAGACTTTCACCAGATATTCAGTGCCAGGGAGCAGGTCTGTGGAGTTGAAGAACAGGAATTTGGACATGTTTCCTTGCTAACATCACAAAGTTAATCAACCTACACAATTTTAACTGTGTTTCTTAGGAGACAATCAAGTTTTGCTTGATGGAAGATCTGAGCCTCCAGGACAATCAAAAGTTTATTGGCATTATGGTTCCTTGCAGTGCTTTAGCCTGAAGGACAGTGATATCCTATGTCATTGCTTCATTAGTTTGTGGAGATTGACTAGAAGCAATTACCTTTTTACAGGGTCCCTTCTAGCTATCTACTAGTTCAGTTATGCAGCAAGCCAAAGGTTTAGCTGATACAAGCTGAAATAGGGCCAAGGATTTCCAACACAGCTGTTCTAACTCAGACAAGCTCTAGATTTAGGTTTTTTTTATTCTGAAAACAGATCTTATCTCTCACTTAACCAACAAGATTCTCAGACAGAGAAAAAAAACCCCAGCTAAAAATACAACACAGCTTTTGCCCCAAAAATTAATGTCAGCTTTTGGAAAATGCCCACATTTTGCTGCCATGTCCTGTAAGGTTCCAGAAAAGGATGTGCTTTCTGGTCTGAGCATCAAAAGTCAAAGGAGCAATGACCTTTTGCATATTCTGATCCTCTCCCTGAACCTCTGCACCGCAAGTCCTTGACATTATTGGCAAACCAGGCGAACAACATGTATTTACTGTTAATACCTAACCAGCCTGCAAATCAATGCAGTTGCCTCAGAGCCTGATTCATCATTGTCCTTGGATTGACAGGAAAAAACTTGCTTGTGGTTTGGCTTTAACTTGGGTAAAGCTAGAGGCCAAACCCCATTTGGTGTGAGTTTGTATGAGGCTACTTGCAACATCACTTTAGATCAGCTGAGAATTTGGCCAGCCACACTTAATTTTTTTTGCCTCATCTTGTGTCATGTGGACCTTCTTACCCTCTACAACTACTTGAAAGGAGGCTGTAACAAGGTGGGGGTCAGTCTCTTCTCCCAGGTAACAAGTGAAGGGACAGGAGAAGACCTCAAGCTGCAATAAGGGAGGTTGTGGTTGGATATCAGGAAAAATTTCTTCACTGAAAGGTTGGTCAGGTGTGGAGTGACCATCCCTGGAGGCGTTCAGGGGGTGTGTGGATTGGCACTTGGGGAGATGGCTTGGTGGTAAGCACAGTGGTGCTGAGTTGATGGTTCAACTCCATGACCTTGGAGGTCCTTTCTCTTAGTGATCTTACGATTTTATGCTGAGGGGCTTCTTATGTTTGACTTATGCAGGTAACCCACTTACTTGTTAAGATGACCATGTTGTCAGAGGGGGAGACTGTCACCTCTGCAACATCCTCCTCCTTCTTGGCAGGGGAGTAGCGCACCAGGAAACCGCTCAGCACGATGGAAGTTGGAGCAGTCCAAGTCACCCTCATGGTGTCAGGCCCCACATTAGTGAAGCGCAGATCAGTGGGAGGAGGCACAGCTACACAGCAAAGAACAAATCCACCTCAGTTCTGATTCATACTGACCAAGATGTCTGTTCAGGGAGTCAATCACCAGAGAAAGTATCTCATGCACAACAGACTATGGCATCAGACTCATGCAAACAGACTTCTAAACTACATTTGGTTCTACTACAGTTAAGAGAAAAATATGTCTGCACTACTGTCAGGCTGCTTTAACCTCTTGGCAATTCCTGATATGTTAAATGTACCCCACGGGGCTAATTTAAAAACAAGGTAGCGAAGTTTCAGTAATGTGCTTCTAGCAGCTGGATTTTGTATTACAGATGTGGTGCCAAGAGAGGTTTAAAGTTGCCATACAGCAGCTTACAGATGGAAAAGTAATCTCATCTAGAATCCATACATGCACACACAGGAGAGGAGAGGGTATATCACTAATTTCCTATGACTCTACTTCTACTCATGTCGAAGGATTTACAGCCCCAGGACTTTCAAACACAACAGGATTTCATGCAAGAACCAGTTTCCAGCTCGCCTTCAGCTCATGCACTATAGAGACCCTTGGCAGTGTGGCATGGCTGTCACTGGCATGTACTCAGGGAGTGGTGTCCATCTGCATCCTTTGGGGCATTGTGGAAAGAGTGGGGCCACCACAGAAACGGGCTGCTGGAAGCTCAAACAGCTGTCAAGGCTGGAGGCTCTCTGCTGATCTGCTCCGCCCTTTAGCACTCCTATTTGGGGAATCACAGTTTTTTAAAGTCTGGCAAACACACAGCTCATGGTTTCAGGCTCTTGATTCCAGCTGGATGCTGGAATAGCAGAAGGTGAAGGAGCCTGGCAAGTCTGCAGTCATTCATGGCATTAAAATGCCTCCAATTCAGAAATGAGCAGCACCACATCCATCCCCAGCTGCCATCCGGGGAAAGGAGCGAGCTGGGTCTGCCTGGCCTCCCCGCAGCAAGCGGCTCAATCCCTCTTTGGACAAAGCCCCGGCACCCCGACAGCCAGTGACAGCCAGTGACACCATCCACGTCCCAAAACACAGAAGTTTTCAAAATTCACCCGTTTGCTGTGTCAGAGTGGTAGGGGCGCTCTCTCCGCCATTAATGAGTGTGATTACACTGATGTCGTAATCAATGCCCGGCTCCAAGCCTGTCACTGTGTAGTATCCTACTGAGGAGTCCACAAAATCTTCAAAAATAGGGACACTTTCTCCTGCTGCAACTACTGTGATGCGGTACCCAATAATGGTGGAGGCATTTAACGGGGTCCACCTCAGGCCGATGCTCGAGTCAGTTATGTCAACAAAGCTTAGGTCAGTGAGCTGGGGCACCTCTAATGAGTTAAAGAGGCAACGGGAGAGGCAGAGACACACGGAGGCAAAAGAAAGACAAGGGAGAGAAAAGCAGTGTTCATCACTATTAAACATCGACAGAACTCTGGAAGCAATTGAGGTGATATGCACAATTTCTCTTGGGGGGGAAAAAGGAAGGATTTTGGCGGGGTGTTTTCTGTTGTGTTTTTGCTTTTGCAGTTTTCAGTTTGTTTTCTTATATTTACCCCTCAATGCAGTCTGCAGCTGTTTCCCTGGGAAGACAGAAGCTGAAACACCAATCCCCTCAGAAGCTGAAACCCCAGTTCTCTTTAGATATAAAGTTTTCAAAAGAGCCCTACAAGAGGCACTTAACTTGCAGTGAATTTACTTTGAGCAATGATAAGCCACAAAGACCCTCCATTTTCTGACAAAAATAGAAGCAGAAAGAACACAGCCCTTTTTTTTTTTTTACAGATAAATTACAAGAGACCAAAGTTTACTAATAACAACTCTGAAACAATAGTAGATTGACCCTCTAAAACCCTTGTTTTGTTCCAAAGGTGAATCTAACTTTTATCACTGGGATCACAAAAATACCAGCTCATCTGAAGGGGCGAAATCAGACCCTCAGCTGGTGAGAGCCTTCATGAAGTTCCAGGGTAGATCATCCATTGTCTCAACTACTTACACTGCACTTAGAAAAAAAGCCTCAAATGCCTGCAATGGCTTGAGGATCTGGCCCAGAATTCCTCATGTTCTACTTACCAACTAACTGCTGAAATATAAATGCTAAAAACAGATGATATGGAACAGTAAGTAATAGAACACTTCCTTGGAAACAGGGTAAATGGTTAAAAATGACCTTTAGATGGTATTAATTCTGTCAGAGTGACAACATCGCTGAATTCAGAGGTTATGCCCAACACATAATGTGGCCAAGAGCCTGACATCTGTGGCTAAAATTGTTCAAAATCTCAAGTTTTAGCCACTGAATAAGAATGCTCTTTAATGACCTTTTAGATGCTGGCTAAATTTCTGTAGGGAAAATAAGTACAGCTGTGACTGTTTTACCTATTGGTATTATTCCATTAGCAAAGGTGCTCATTTCCTGCATGTTAAGAGCAGCAGAATTGGGCAGGGAATAGGGAATTTTTGATGCATCTTTAATTGACAATGGCCAAATCTTTAGTTGCTCAAGTCAATAAACTGGTATTGATTTAAGCCACAAGATTTGGCTGTGTAATGTTATCAGGGTGATCCTGAAATTAGTGGTAACTAATGGATGCTCTTCCTCAGTCAGGATCAGACATCAATGAGTCAAAGATGCAGGACTCTTTATCCATTCTGTTCATTACAAGTTAGTTTGAAAAGAAATTATGGGACAGAAATACTGCTTTAATAAATAGTGGTTATGTTCTATTTTGATGCCCCTCTTGGAAAACACTTATTTTACAGAATGGGTGCAAAAACACCCCCAAAAAAAACAGTCTTCTGTAAAATAATTGTTTATCCACATGGAATGCATGTACCATATCACCTTTAAAGAGTTGTAAAAGCCAGACACATACATTCTTAGCTTTCCCTCACCAGAAGATGGTGAAGGGCTAAAACTATTACTGCATAACTGTGCAGCATCACAGTATTAGTTCACCCCAGGGGAGCACACAGCACTTCAGTGACGCACAGAAATTTTAAAGCAGTGTTACAAGAGCAAGCAAACACAGTAGCTGGCATCATCTCAGAGCAGAAACAAAAACAAACGAAGCCCTCACAAAGGAAAATTAAATGCAACCATTTGGGGAAACGCATATTAATTTTGCTCTTGTGGCTACAAAGGCAGTTTCTGCAGTCCCCACAGATGTCATGTGAGGTGGCACACACCACTCTGTGACTCAAGTGCTCCAGTGATGGACCATTCCATCTTGGTTTTCCTCTCCATTGCTCTCAAGTGATCTTCTGCCACTGGTGCTGCCAGAATTTCTCCTGTGCTCATTTCCCACTCATACCTCTGTTCACCTACTTCCTGTTCCCACCAGCTGTGCTCCAGATGCTGGGGCACTTCAGGGCTGAGTTAAATCCCTGCTGCTGCCCAGCTCAAGTGTACTGTTGCAGCAGATCCATGTGCTGACCAGCAGCCTGGGACACACAACACAGGCTGCCCATACAGAGAAGTACACAGGTGTAAGACGTTCTGTCACATGTTGGAACGTGGCTATTCTGCTTCTTGAGTCTAAATGTGAAGTCTAAGCCCTCTACCATCAGACAAGTTCTGCAATGTAGAGCTCCCTGGCTCAGCCACATGAGCTTGGGCAGCTGAAATTTCTGCTCATCCTTTCATTACCTGGTGTGATGGTTTCTGAGATGGGGACACTCTCCTGGTCATCCTTGACAGAGTAGACACTGACATTGTACTCCACACCAGGGCTGAGGTTCTCAAAGGTGCAGGTGGTCTGATCTGCACCCACCACCTCCTCCAGGGTAGAGCCCTGCTGTCCATCGGTGGGAGCAGTGGTCACGCGGTACCCGCTGATGCCTGAAATACAGAGGCCAGTGTCAGGAGTCTCCTGCTGGATCCACTCACATCACTCCCAAGTGCAACAGCTGAAAATGTCACCTGTGACATTTTACAAGTGATTCTGCCACCTGGAGCCCAGCAGGAAAGAGGTTGCTTTGTCAAGAAATGAGCTTCCCAGGAGCTAGCCATGCCACCCTCATGGCATTTCTGTTCCTTGTGGGACCTCACCCAACTGAAAATCTCAGGAGTTTTGAGAGGAACTTCTCTCAGGACCCTCTGAGGAAAGATTCAGCTCCCAACAGAAGTTTTCAAAAACTTTGAATCCACCTCTTATGGGAGTCAATTGTGCAGCTCCCATCAGCTACTGTGGGAGAAGAGTTCGTCCTGAACATTGTCTGAACTTCCACACTCACTATCCATAGCACAGACTCATTTGTCACTTCCAGAAACCTCTGTGGTCCATTCTGCTTTCCTTCCCTCGGACTACTTTTCAACCACTGGAGATACCTGAAGAAACCCTTCAAATCCTTAAAACAGCTGAAATACTCTAAACACATTCATGCTCCAAAATAGCATTTTATACAGAATGTAAATCCTGATGAGTTCTACAGCAAGTCGTAGTTAACTGTGAATTACAATCTTAAATATATCTAGAAACATGTACATTTTTTCTTTAAATTAATCGACAGCAAATTTCCCACCAAACTGCAAGGCACCACAGAAGAAGCAGCAGAAGGCAGCATTCTGCTACAGAAGGATGTTTGAGCACAGAGTGAGTTCACATGGTTACCTGGAGATGTGCTTCTCTCCCAAGAGACTATCAGGATGCCAGTGTCAGGATTGGATTTCAGGCGCAGGCTGGTTGGTGGAGCCAGTGCTGCAAGTGTTCAGACAAATGGGTCACTGATGGCACTGAGAATCATACTGGCTGCCTCCCTGTCCACACAATATCCTCAGCCTTTGGAATTAGCCAAAAATACTCCCCTGAAGCTGTAAACCAGCACTGCATGGGACAGTGCTACTGTCACCTATTCATCATAAAGAAAAGCCAGACCACAACAGGGAGGAAAGACCAGAATTGCCTCCCAGAAGGCAGTGGGGAGTGGAAGAAGGAATGATGGTGGATAAGCAAGTGCCTTACGTGTGGTGACTCTCCTGATGATGGGGGTCTCTCTCTCCTGGCCATCCATCAGCACTGTGAGGCTGTAGGTGTATTCCACACCAGGAGTCAGCCCAGAGATCACGATGCTGCCCGAGTCCGAGATCACCTCCCGAGGAGCCTCTCCTCCCTGGCTTGGGCGCACTCCCAGCTGCAGGGGAGTGAAGTTTGCTTTTCAGTCACAAGCTATCAGCACCCTGACTGATCATCCAACAGCAGCACTATGGACCCTTATGCTCAACTCCAGCTGTTAGTCCTGTAATTTGTGGTCTCAAACTCGACCTGAAGCCCCGTGACTTCATTGACCTCTGTCACCTAAACCCACTCCCTGTGAGCAACAGGCCCTTTGACCTCTCCCCTTTGTGCTGCCACACACCATAGGAAATGGCTTTAATCTGCCCTCCCCACCACAGTGAAACAAGAGGAAAAAGCAACATGGGACTCAGTTCCTCCTACCTTGAAACCAATCCTTGGGGCAGGTGTCCAGGTGATGACAATTGAGGTCTCAGTCACTTCTGTGTTAAAAGGAGGAACAGAGCCAGCAGGCTGATCTGTGGAGTGAATTGACCAGAGTTGAAGTCTACCTGCTGTGATGGCTCCAAACACTTTGAAAACCTGACCTACAGCAGCAGAAATAGCCAGAGGAATTAAAGTAAATGCTAAACTAGATCACTTCTTAAAATCCAGTGATTTGGGAAGGATCTGACAGATGATTTTTGTCTGCTGCTGGGCTTGACAGACACAGTATGTAAGTGGTCTAATCATAGCCAGAGCTTTTGCTCCTGAGGAAAACAAAAATACTCAAGTGGATGCATGACCCTGTAATGCATCCAGCCCCAAAATTTGGGGAATTCTGGTTTTTGGCATGATATCTAAAGTGTTCCTCAAAACTCAGCTGTTTTTTTGATTCACCCACCATATGCATTCCCATCAGAAGAATACTATGCACATCCCTGTCTGTCATCCAGCTGTCCCATCAAGGACCACCTTATCCCTCAGCAACATCTTGTGAAGTCAGCAGAAAGGAGCCAACGTCAGTCTGAGGCTTCTGTGGTCTCACTGATATCTGCCAGAAGCATCACACAGAAACCAAAGCCTTTGTGCATGCCAGAATCAGCCTAAATAACAACACTGAGCTTAATGTGAAATGGCCTTGTTAGTAATGTTATTAATGAAGAGGCATGGTTAATCAGATCTATAGCCTCAAACTGGACTGGTTTCATTCAGACAAACCAGAATTTGAAGGTAACATTAAATCTAAGATACCAAATGATACACTAATTGAGGAATATTTATAGACAAGATTGTCAGCAAAAAGGACCTTGCCAATGTCAACAATGTTACTCTGATTAAAAGTCTGAGCCCTTATTTTAGTTTCACATTGTTCTAAAAGAAACCACATTCTCTTTGAAAAGAGGATGTGGTTCTGGGCTCCGGTGGCTTTGAGTTTTGCTAGTTTATATGATGGCATCATTATTATTTAAACACTGAATCTATTTCTTCTTTTTTAGAAGTATGTGGCAGTTGTTACAGAGCTCGCTTTCCTTCCAAAATTTGTTTAATATTTCTTCCAAACCAGCATCACAAATACAGATGACTGAAATGCAAAAAAATGAAATCAAATAAAAAGATAGAATACAATGTTTGTGTCAGTTTGGGTAACTGCAGTTGAGCTGCCTTAAATGGTATGGCTGGGCTTGAGAAATGACTGCTTTCAGCTTTATCTAAGTACCACACTAATTATTCCTTGCCCATATTAAGAGTTGTATGCTTTGCTTATTTGTCATGCCAAAACCAAGCAATTAGGAAGATCAAGTAAAATTAAAGTTCTCTGACATTCAGTTAAGCAAAAAAGTGAGGTACCAGTAGTTAAGTTTTCCCTCTTGTTTTTAATCATCAGGAAAGCTGAAATGTATTTTACTAAAAGCCTTTTGATGCAAATAACCTTTTCCTGCCAACAAGTTCGGAAAGAACAACAAGGAGCATTTCCCAAGCTGTTCTGCTGGAATGCTACTTCAAAAGGCTGCTCCTGTAAATCAACTCACAACAGGCACTTTCAGCACAAGTTCTGAAGCGTGGCCAGGGTATAAAGGAAGAGCAGTATGTGATGTGTGTGTGTCTCACTCACAAGTGGTGAAGACCCCGGTCTCTCTGTTGCTCTGCAGGTCGCCTTTGACGGCCACGAGGTACACGGTGTACTCGGTGCCAGGCTGCAGGTTCCTGAGCAGGTACTTGGTGGCTGAGGGTCCCACGTTGTAGGTGCGGGGCTGCCCTCCTCTGGTGGGCCCTGCTGTCAGCTTGTAGCCCGTGATCACGGCCCGGGGCCGCGTCCACAGCACCAGCACCGAGTGCTCCGTGGTGTTGAGGAACCGCAGGTTGGTGGGGGCATCGAGCTCTGGGGAGGCAAAGCACAACACCCATCAGCTGAATCTCCACCTCCAAACCACAGCTGTACACTGGGCCTGCACTTCTGATGCACTGTGTGAGGGCAAGAGAGAAGGTGGGACCATGAGAGAGCTGGGAAGTTATTTCACTTCTACAGCCACATCTCAGTGCCATCCATCAATACACCAAGACAGGCAGACCTGAGCGCTCTGGGCTGCACTGATTTGGGCTGCTGCCATCTCTGCATCCCATGGGGAAGGCAGCCTAAAGGTTGAGACAAGACAGATGACCCCAACACACTCAGGAATTTCAAGAGTTTCTCATGAGCACCGAGCATTTTTTAAAAACCAGCTCAGTTTAGACTTGTCAGTGTAAGCAAGGAAACCTAATTTTAGCCCTTTTCCATGAAAAAGATTTATTCTTTTAAATCCTTGCCCAGTCCTCTCAAAATCTCTTCCCAAAATAAACCACCCCTACTTTGTCATTTGAATGTCAAAATAAGTAATAGTCAGCGACTTTCTGCAGAAAACCAGTTCCTAGATCTACTTAAAAATATTCACACCATGGAGCTGACCATACAACAATTCCAAGCATGCTCATCTCTCCCCTGGGACTCAGGGAACAGCTCCTACCAGGCTTCCTCCCCCCTTTTTATCAGTGCCCCTGGGAAGCTGCTGAAGCTGATAACCCAGATAACTACATAAACAAGAGGCTGAGGCAGCACAGCTCTTTCACTGGAGCCACAGTGACTGGTGGAGATGTCACTGCCTTTGGCTGAGACAAGGTGAGGCTCTGGAGGGGAATTTGCCCCCACAGCTGGCAGGGTAGCACTGTTCTGCAGCAAGGAGTTCACAGTGATCACACAGCCACCCTCCCCACCTTTTCTAGGTTCTAACCATATGTTGAAATGAAAGTGCAGTGAGGTTTCATCAATGCTCTTTTTTGCTGGCAAAAGCTTTTTTCTCCTTCTGGAGAAGTAATATTTTGGTGAAAAAAATTAATGTTTTCATCAGTCTTCCAGTGATTCAGTGGGAAGATGCTTTTGTCATTTTTGTTTTCTTCCCACTTGTCTTCTCCATTTTTGAGGAGGGAGGAAAAAGGAAGCAAGGTCTTCCTTCTTTCACCACTGGAAAAAAACTGGGGAGAACTCAAAAAGAAAAAGGGTGAGTGTGACCTTGTTTAAGCCCATCTCCAACCCACAGGCTGCAAGTCAACTTTATCCCTTGCTGATACTTAGATCTGGGCTAAGTCTCATCTGACAAAGATTGTATCTTCCTAAAATGCATAGCCTGAAGTCAGTTCCTTTCTGCACAATGTAATTTGCCAGCTCTATTAGGCTTTTATCACTTCCTCTCCCCATACTAGAAGAAAAAGGGCAAGATTAAAAAGCCACACACACACACTTGGAGTTTATTTGTGGACTGCTTTTTAACGGAAGGCCAGAAAGAGAATCACATTTACACCGTGGGAAGAGACTTTTGCTGCAGGGTTTTCCTTGGGAACCCTGAATGATTTCTGTTTCCCAGGACTTTCGATTACAGGATGCAATTTATGTGAATAGTTTCTGCAATGTGGTTTAGGCAAAGCAGTTAAGGGGATGATCACAGCCTATGGAAAACGATTCCAGACATTTGTGACTCGTACTGTGCTGTCTGAATTAAATGTCTATGCTCCAATGTACACCTCTGTATGGAGTTTCAGAGGAACCCTACACCTAGCCCAGGCTCCTCAAAACAACCACAAAAAATTACAGATCTAGCTGGGAACTGAGCCCTTCTTGTTCTAAGTGCTTCCAAGAGAGTTCAGATTCCTAAGTGGCATCCTTGCTTTTGAAAGCCTGGCTTGAAAGGAGGAGGGTGCTCACACCATCTGTGCTGTGCTCAAATTAGACACCTATGGCAAAGGACATACATAAGGATCCCATTCTCCCCGCACAGTCAGGGGACAGGCACTATTCATTGCTCATAATTTTGTGGATGGAAGTAAGGGTATTTCTCAAACAGCATGGCTATATTCACAGATTAACCAGTTTCCTTTCCTTCCCTCTCACATCACTAAGAGCCAGGCTGGGTTCTCAGAAGATGCTCTTATTTACTGAAAAGTATCAGAAGATCAGCAGACACACACAGCTGAATTTTGTCCCTTTGAATAAAGTGACCCATCCAAAGAACACCACAAACACCCACTCACCCTTCTATTGCCCAATAAACAGGACCTGATCAAACAAACCATGTCCCACGTTCTGCCTCATCCACTCCTTGGATCAAAAATGGAAATAACCACTCAAACCCAGATAAAACTCCTTCTCTTCCATCTGAAAAACAGCCACTGCTCCTCTCTCTTCTCTGCACTACTGCAAAGCAAGAAACAATGCCTGACAAAGTGCCTTTTTCCTCACACTGGTGAGGTGCTGCAATGCTATTAGGTCATTAGCAATCAGATTCTGAGGGATCCTGCACGATCCTTCCTTGCATGTGCAGGCACAACTACTACTGCTGCCAGGGAAGCCAGATAGGTATGGAGCTGTCAGAAGGGAGATGGGGATTTTCAGAGGAATCTCAGCAAGGCTTCTAAGTCATACTGAAATCTGCCCTAAGGTACCAACAGAAAAAAAAAAAAATAAAAAAAAAAATCACTGCCTGATCTGTGCTGTAAAAGAACTGCAGGGTCCATCAACTCTCAGTCAGTAATAAAAAAGTTGAATTCCAGCCATACAAAATTGTTTTAAAGCACCATGAGACTGAAACTCCCATTGGAAAGCCCCAGAGGAGGATAAATCTGCTGAAGAGATCATTGTTAGAATGAATGAATTCCCAGGTCTGTCATCCTTCTGATGGGATACCTCCTGGGCTGGAACTGTTGCACTTCAAGCGCTCTGTTTATACAGTTCTCCAAGCGACAGAGAAATAAGCACTTCAAAAGGCTGAAAAAAGCACGGAGGAAAGACACTTACTGGTGGTTTGCTCTCCAGTCAAAGGTTTGCTCTCCCTGCCCTGGTTTACAGCAAAGATCTTGAAGAGATAGGTTGTTCCTGGGATCAGGTCAATGACTTCAGCAAAAGCGCTCCTGGTGATGGGCAGTCTCTGGCCGTGCTGGCCGGGGCGGTTGACAGGGATCACCTCCACCCGATAGCCCGACACTTGGCTCTGCGGTGGGGTCCACATGATGGTGATCTTGATGTCAGAAACCTCCACAAACTGCAGGTCTCTGGGGGAGGGCACCTCATCTGAAAGCACAGGGGTATAATAGTTGTCAGAGGGAGTCCTTAGCAGGAGAAGTCACAGGTTTCCATGGAAGGAAAAAAATTAAATTTTGCTTGAACAACAGCCCAAGAATATTTACTAAATTAAAAAGTCAGGGTAACCTCACTGCAAGCATGCCTACACACATTCCCTGAAAATATTCAAGCAGACTACAATTCCAAACATCACCATCTACTTTAAAGTATGCTATGTCTTCAGAAGGTATCTTGCTGTGACAAAGAGAACTGACAGACCAGGCGTCATATGCTACAGAACTTCAAGTATATGCAGAACCAAAGCCTGAGGGGAAAAAAGTACTCCAGGGCTTGGAAACAGTAACCTGCTTCTAAAATTAGAAGTGAGGGTTTTCAAAATCCACAGCATGTTCTGAATGTCTATGATTAACTTGAAATCCACCTTTCATAATTAAACAAGTACAGGGGCTGATCTGGCCTTACTATAGTCAAATGCAAAATGCAGTTCCCTCAGTGCTGGGCCACAGTACTGCCCCCCTGAATTCCTGTGTTTAAATTAAGTTTCTTGAGAGTAGGACTGTTACTGCCCTAAGGTTAACCAGTGCACATTTTTAGAAGATTTGGCAGAAGCCAAACCATAAAATCATTGAGCCGAGTTCATTCCTGGTAAATTCCCATCTGCAAACACGTGCTTGCAACTTGCAGGACTGCGAAATTCCACTGCTTACCACATCAAAACCCAATTCTTTCACTATCCCTTCTTTTGGTTTGGTTATTCAGTCCAACTGGACACTTAAAGAACCCTGAAACCAGAAGTTTTTTAAATACTGAGCATCTCAAGTTTAGATCCTATGGTGCTGTTCTGGCACATCAGTCAATGCTGAGCCATCTCCCATCCCCACTGACTGCAAAAGAAAATAATGGGTAGGACTGGAGAGGGAAAAGTCAGGTGAACAATTTGAATGTGTGTTGTGGTGTCTGAGTACATAACTCTGAACATCTGCAAGTGCTGGGGCAAAATAATACATCAGGCACTTCAGAGGATTTCTTAGCAGAATCCCCCTAAGATAACTTGGGAAATTGATGTCTCTTCTGCAGACAATGCAAGACCTGCCTGCAGTCCAATCCCTAGGAATTACAACCCTCTTAAATGCAGTGGTGTCTTGATTGTGTCAATAAGTATGACTTTACTACAGAACTTCAATACCAGTGAAACTTGCAATTTAGACTCACTAAACCATAACTGAGCTCATTTAAGCACTCACTTAGCTAGCAACAGAAAACTCCGTGACTGAAACGCAGAAGATGGGCATTACCTGTGCGTGGGACCCCAGTGGTTTCCTGCTGGATGAAGACAGGGGTGCTCTCCTGGTTTTCCTCCACTGCATAGATGCTGATGTTGTACTGAACCCCTGGCATCAGGTCACTGAGTGTCACAGAGGTGGCGGTGTCGGGCAGGTTGAGCTCTGTGCTGCTGCCTTCCACAGAGGGTACGTAGACAATCCTGTAGCCTGAAGCAAGAGCAATATGCAACCCTCAGCACAAACAGTAAGCACAAAGAATGCTCAGCTTTGATAAAAATAGCCCTGAACTTTAGCAGGACTTGCAGCCTGCTCATGTCCCATCTACAGACCACACACTCACACCACCCTCCAAAGCACAATCTGACCTGGGTTAGAATATCTCTGAGGTCTGACATGTGGATTTAGGCCTGTACTGCTCTCACGCTCACTATGGGATGGGCTGGATGACAGATACAAATATAAGGTCTTGGGGCTTGTTTTTATTTAACACAAATCCAGAAGGAATTGTTTTGCACCCAGTCTTCTGCCTTGCTTGGTTCAGTCATTGAAGCCGAGAAAATCCTAAGCTGCCCATGTGCTTTCCAGCTGGTCTTTCTGACCAGACAGAATTTTGCACTCCCTTTGTCCCAGAGTTATATTTCATTTTCTTTTTCACCTACATTTCAGATTCTATCAATAATACAAGGTAAGTGCACTCCAATTGGACAAACCTGTGATTGGAGCCTGTGGTCTGCTCCAGCTGATGACAATGGATGTGTCATCCACACTTTCCACTGTGTGGTCGGGTGGTGCATCAGGAGCTGTTCAAGAGAAAGAGGAGGACAGCAAGTGTGAGGATAAGAGGTAACAAAAAATTCGTGAGCAAACAGTAACAACAGCTTTCAAAGTGCAGCAACAGCCACCTACACATACCTGTAGTCTGTGAAGTAGAGAGGATCAGATTCTGCTCTCCTTCTTCAGAGATCTGATAGACATTAACAATATACTTGCGACCAGGAAGCAAGTCAGGGATGTTGACAGAAGTGGCTGTGCTTGGTAGATCTGAGGAAGGCAGGAGAGAAAAATTTGCTTTAGCAATTCTAACTTCTTGCTTTCTCTCCAAATTAAGTAATTGAGAAGTCTGTTCTAATCTGGGCTGGAGCATTGTCTTCCTGCAATAAACAGTTTTTCTGCATTGTCTTCGGTTCACCTCAGAAGAATTGTGTGGAGAGCTGGTACCAGCAACCAAGAGCAGCAAGGCTTGATGTGGGATATTGCAGGGCTGCTGCTCAAGCTGCCCTGCACCCTGTAGCCATCCCAGCTGAACACTCATTTCATACCCTGACTGTTCAACTTGCATTACAGAAATATATGGAAAAACTTTCACATGAGGAGGTTATGTGGAAACACTGACTCATGAGTGAAGAAGAATAACATTATGAGGGCTGGTCAACTTCTCTCCCTTCTCCCAGATGTCCACCTACGTGCCAGATGTAGAAAATTCCCCAAGAAGCAGCTCCTTGCTGGCCAGATTGAAGCCAAGCATCTTAGAGGAAATTGGGAATTGCCTTTCAATCTGCCTGTAAACCTCTGTCTATAGACAGATGAGCTCAGGAGCTGCTTCAAAGCACAGCTCAGCTGTCTGGGCAGAAAGTAAAGTGGTGACAGTGCTGGCAGTCCCCACAAGAGCCACTTCTGCTCAGTGTCCAAAGCCTGTGAGCTCAGGGGAGCAGCAGTCCAGGGAGAATTATTGGCCCAGGAGATTGCTGTTCTTTTTGTCATGTTCTTCTGTCACACTCATGTCCCAATAACTATTATAACCTCAAATATTTGAGGTGAGATATTGCTATTACCACTGTTAAGACAGGAAATTAGGAAAAAAGTTGAAATGAAATTACATGTAGTGGTGCCATGAGCTCTACAGTAAATGCTGGAGAAAGTTTCAAGTCCTGTGTCTGAGTCCAGTGCCTTTAACCAGCTTCCCAGCTCAGCTAAATTGTCATATTATCAAAGATGAGGAAGATCTAATCCAAAAAACACAACTGACAGACCACACTGCAACGTGAGATATCCATGAGATATCAATCAGCCAAGAGAGGGCATTTGGGAAAGATTTCTCTCTGTCCATTCTGATGGAAGGACAAAGGTATGCCAAAGGAAATTAGCCAGGAGGCAGGTTCAAAAAAACAGATTTGGTTCTCTTCTCATCTGCACTGCTGCTCACTTCAGGATGCTGTGGAAGCCAGTAACTTTACATGATTGTAAAAGAAAAAAAAAAATCGTGGAGATGAAAAGAATAATTGTATCTATTCAGAGTTATTACTCATCCACCACTCCTGGCTCAGGCAGTTTTCCTCTGCAGAATTCTGGGAAGGTATTCTGAGGGGATATTGCTGCTTACTTGCCTTGCTCTCTTACAGCTATGAAGGGAGAAAAGACAATGAACTAAACGAGTTTTTAATCTGAGCTGGTCCTGGCCACTCTCATATCCTAATTGAATCCTGCTGAAAGGCAGGGAGATGCTCACTGTTCACACCAGTTCTACTGACTGCCACAAAGCAGTGGTGCACTGACTGTGAGCAATGCTTTGGTCTGGCACACTCCAGTGTTGTCTCACCAAGGTACTGTGGCTCATCACCCTCCTCGCTCAGCTCATACTCAACACGGAATCCAGAAACAGTGTCAGAAGCAGAAACCCAGGAGACAACAAAGCTGTTGGATGTGATTTCAGTGACGGATTCTGAAGTAGCAACCACAGGGGGAAGAAGAGTTGTCTCTCCTGAAACAGTGTTGCCTACAAGAGAAAGAAGTTGCATTAATGATCACCACTTTTGTGTTCACTGCACAGTGCAAGGATGTGGGTGGAGGAGATCAGGTTTTCCTGGATGTCCCCCTGCCCCACTCACTCGTCACTGCTGTGGTGCTGGTTGTGGTAAAATCGAAGCGGGTGACTTCTTTGTGGCCGTACTGCTGTACACTGATGAGCTGCCCCTCATAGATCACACCAGGCTTCAGGCCTGAGATGGTGTACGAGTTCCGGTGGCCAGGGATGGTGGCTTCCTTCCACTGCCTTCCTGAGTTTTTCTGCAAGAAAAAGAACACTCAGCTAGTGAGAGACTCCCTAGGCTGCAAGCAGGGGAATCCAGTGACCTAACCTGCTGTGTGGTTACTACTCACTGTGATATTCAAACACAGGCATGACTCAAATGGCTTTAATGCACAGACAGGATCAAGGCAAAGGAGATGAGAAAAGTATGCTAAGAAGCAGGACCAATGCCATTGAGTTATTAGATTTTCCAGGGGTAAACTAAAAACAACCTAGGTATGAACTTTACCCTTTAACAGGAGCATTATTTGTTATAAATTCAAGTCATTCCTTCATCAAAAGCACAGTAAGGCATGAAGCAGTGACTGGAAAATAAAATTTTGAAGGCAGTTCATAGTAACACACTAAGCCATCATCTGAAAACAATATACAGATAAATTCTTCCCTTCTACCCTCTGTTTGAACTCTATGGGAAGCTTTAAAATAATGCTCCATCCTCTGAGGTTTGTACTCCAGTGCTTTAAAGTCCATTTCATTCAGGCCTTCATCCAAGATACACTGAAGTCAGTAAAAAGACTTGAGTGCCTTGAATGGCTTTGGATCAGGGCCTTTATTGTTCTCCTAATAACAGGCAGCACTGAGGTACTAATGCTCTTAATCATTAAGTGGTCTTTTGTGAATCTGTACTCAGGGGAGCTGGAACACAGCTCATCTGTGTTGGTTAAATCAAATCATTCCTCACAGAAGAACCAGCCAACAAGCAGTGGTTAACCAGTCCTGGTTTAGACTTTGGAGAAGCTGGGAGTGACTGTTTATTTCATCCTACACTAAACTGTTTATGACTTCATATCCTACTCATTTTTACCTCCTCATTAACAGACTAAAATGTATCCCAGTATATGGGAAATGCACATTACTAAAACAGCATTTCTTTGGATGAAGAAGCTTCCACAAGGATTTACATTCCTAAGGTAAGGAAGGATATAAACTTGTCTGCTTGCTGTACTGGTGCTTTGTTTAATAAAATCCTTTATGAACACAGCAACCAGTGAAGTTTGAGCAAAAAAATATTAAGTGTTTATACAGCACTGGCTCTCCTTGATGCTCAAGAGTAGCTGTTGACCTCAACAGAAAAAGACACTGAATAAGCAACCCATGTTTGCTGAAATTGTGTCAGCCACTTCTTTCAGACATCAGAAAAAGCCAAATAAAGTACTCTTGACAAACAAATGATGACAAATGTGGCACTCACCGGTCTCCAGCGCAAGATGTACTGAGTGATGTGAGATCGTTCAGGAGCATTCCACTGGATGGGGTGGGAGTTTGGCTGATTTGTACTCTCTGTGATGATCACCTGAACAGGTCCAGTTGACCCTGAAAAAAAAAAGAATTGCCAGTTTTAACATTCTGGGGATGTTGTGGAGCCATCAAAAAGCACGAAAGCTGCATGGCTCACATAGTACTTCTATACGTGGGAAAACAGTTCTGTTGTCTTTCTCTCCTTAATGCACCATTTCTACCTAGAAAACCAGAGACTAAGAATGAATAAATTCTGTGGGGGAGTTAATGTGCACTGCTCGGGTCCATTTCCTGTAAGCTATCAATGAAATGGAAAATGGGAGAGGTCCAGTACAGAAAGAGTCTGCAAAGCAAAGTTTTGCTTGTCAAAGAGGTGGGGGGAACTTCTCAGCAAATAATTGTTTTCATCATTTATATCTTCTGCAATGGCAGGAGGGAAGCTGATAAAAACCATCTGCCAAATCCAGGTCAAATCATGCAGCATGGTGAGGGAAAATTTCTGATCGGACACTGAATATACCCTGAAAAGAGACACTAATCTTCTACTGTTTCACTGAATTTCTTCATCAGTTCATTTGAAACACTGAATTTTTGTGACTCTGTGGAGGACTTCACAGATAGCGAGACTTTCCTTCTGCACACAAACCCCACCAGAAGGGTTGGTGGAAGTCCTGAGACAAAACAAGCCCATGAACTGATGAAAATACAAGTTCTGCAGTGCTCTAATGTTTAAGGACCACTGACTGCATTGAGTCAGGTTGGGCTCAGGGCTATTTTCTTCAACAAGCTCTCCAGTAGAGAAGGACAGGTCTTATGATCCCATGGTTCTCCTTTCTGTCCCTCCTGGCCCCACTGGGGAGGTTTCACTGAACACTCAGCATCACTGTCCTCATGTTAGTTCTCAGAAAATCCCAGCAAAGAGATCCCTGGAATCTGCAGGAAAGTGTTTTAGCCATTAAATAGCTGCACCCTCACCCCATTCCCAACATTTCTAATAATAATTTATTTGGACAACCATGTACCATATATACCTGCTTCCCATTTAACAGGATTTCTAGAAAAACAAACCTGTGCCCACAGGCAGAAAATTTCAAAGCTCACCTAACCCCAAACCTACATTCAGAAACATTAGATTTGGTTTATTTACACATTTTCAGTCACTCTTGTGTCTAAAGCAGCCCAAAGCCCTGGTCTCCAGGCTGAAGGCATGCATATTTCACATATCTCAGGGAGGTGTTTGTTTAAGCAGTCTAACAGGAGTAAATGAAGCTCAGCAAGCCTTAATACTTCATCTTATTCAGATTAAGATAGTGGCAGTTGCAACCTTAAACAGGAAAGTAGAGAGGCTCCCCTTATGTTCTGTTCGGGGAACTGAAGCTGAACAACCAACAAACAGGCATTGCCCATCCCTATAAAGAGTTCCTGGAATTGCCTGGACAAACAAGAGTTCAAATATTTAACTTCTTTGGGGCACAGGAAAAACTTTTCGTTCCATGGTGGATTACTTCTGTAATGAGTGGAAAAGGAAGAACTACACATGTGAGTTTCAGGCAACATAAGCTGAAGATTACACATGTGATGAGGCAATGTAAACCCAAATCGTTGTGTGCACTGAGGGTCATTCTCTGAACTAACCCTGGCCTCAGGAATAGCTGCAAACAGCTTGGGCCCCTCTTTTTAACCCCCTGACATCTCTTGTGTCTGCCAAGGGACAGGAAGAATCTGTTTTGTTTTAAAAGGAAGCCAAGAGGCATTAGGTACAGAAACCTGAAAAGGTGAGGGGTGGAAAGTTGCTTTTCCTCAGGTCTTACTCAGCAGACGAGTTCATTTTTTGTTGGGTTTCTTACCAGGGTAAGTCTGTAGGGGTTGACAGTGCCATTCTCCAATCCCACGACCATAGCAATAGCACTGGTATCTGACCCCATGGACATACTTCTCCCAGGAGTCTCCAATTTGATAGAAGGTGCGGGTTTCTGAGTCCTGGCACTGGTCTGAAGGCACAAGAGACACAGTTCACCTCTGTTACTGAATCCACAGTGAAATATCTACAAAGAGCAAGTCCCAAAAGACTTTTGCACAAAAAAATGCAACACCAATGTTTATTTGCAAAAATAGGTACATAAAGTGGCAACAGAGCTTGAATCTCAAATCAAGGTTCTTAATATAGCACTGCATGTATTAAGTCTGATATTAGGGGGCAAAATCAGCTGTGATGCATTTCAGTGGGGTGTTCCTTCTAGAAAGGATTTCATCCACTCTGGAGCTCAATTCTGCCCTGGCCAATGAGTTCATCTCTCATCCAAAGCTAAACCATGCTCCTCTCAAGGAGATCAAAGGCAAAAAATTCCTCCTGCCTCCAGCAGAACTCATTTATGCTTTAATAGTCCCCAGAATGTTTTTATTTTCAGCAGAATCTTTCCAGATTTACCATCATATAAACCAAAGGAAGACAGATCAGATCCTGAAATCAGCCTAACTAGTGTAAACAGAGCACTTCAGTACACTTTCTACTCTGACAACTGCATCTATGCCTGGCTCAACAGAAATTTTCAGTGAGAACTAGCATTATGTTTGCCTGGATAAATAAGAGCTTTGTTTAGAGAGAGCCAACAAAATTAAAACTTTAATTGCACCTATACAGATAGCAGAAATCATCTCCCTGCCCCTTCCTTCAAACTAGTAATTTTCAGAAGCTTTACAATCTATGTTCCTCCAGTAAACACATACAGATACTACTGCAAATAAAGCAGAGCTTCACAACTAGTAATTTCTAACAGATTTTCTTGGCAATAGTTTGAAGGTCTCTTGGACTTCATAATTGCAAACCAAACAGCCAGGTCTTATCTTCCAATCAAGGTTTGCTAGGGAAGAGGGGGAAGCAGAAGACATAAAATCTCATTCCTGCAGAGAACCATGATGGTTTTAGCTAACCTCCAGAGCACTATTAACATGTGTTCTCATCCTGAGCTTTCCCTCTTTGCTAGAACAAAGGGCAGACAAAAAATCAATTCAGACCAAGGTAAGTTAATGTACGCAGGTGCTCCTTCCTCAGTTCCGGGAGAAAACTCTGAAAGATTTTAGGACAGAGAAAGGCAAGAAAACTGATCCTAGCATCAGTGCCCAGCTGCATGTTTTATCAGTGTTCAGGCTGAGAGCTCTGCTGACAGCTCAGGTGCCAGAATCCAGCCGAACCACCACAGCCTGGGGCTAACTGCCCTGCTACATTTTACAACATATGCTCACCACAGTCATGGTTCTTCTGTGGCCGGTGTGATAACCCAAGCATATGTCCTTAAATTAACAAATGCCCTTTCACTTACCCTCCAGCAAATGCAGTGCTGCTTTTATTTTTGCTTTTGTACAGTTCAGGACAGAAAGTGGACAGAGACCGGGCCCAAACTCACACACCAGTTTCTCCACACCACAGCCAGTTTGTACAGAGCCACAAAGGGTGTTTGGGGGCAGCTGGAGACTCACCAACAGGATCACACTTCCATCTGCCCCGGCCCTGGCCAAAGCAGGTGCAGTTCAGCATGTGCCCCTCATCATGGCGCTTGTGGAAGGTCTGGTTCACGTCATAGGTGATGCCATCCACGATGCACTGGTCTGGGGGAGAAAGAAGAGTTTATCAGCAATAGGTCTATAGAACCCTTCTGTCTGGAACATCATTCCCTCTGTCTGATCAGCACACAGACTGATCATGACCAGCTCCAACCAAGCCAGAAAGGAGCCCTCCTGTAATCTGTGACCCCCACAGTGCTGCATACACACCCCTGCTCCCGAGTTCATCTATCAGCATTGTACAAATAAGCAACACGTGGCCAAAAGAGGTCTGTAGGACACAATCCAGCTACAGAACTGCCTTGTTGTTCCTTCAGACAGAACCCACATGTGAACAAAAATCTAAACCACCACACTGACTCTCCAACCATCTCCTCTGAGGAACATCTCAGGTGAAACTCCTCACTGCAACTACACAAAGAGAAAAAGGCTGCTCCAAATTTATAAGGACACAATGAAGAAGTACAGCCATCCTCCTGATGTTATTCTGCTGGGTATCTCTGCTATCCTCTGTAGTAATCTGAAGGCAGAGGCAGATCTTTTATGCACACAAGATGCTACTGGTGCCCACCAGTCTGCTCTTCCCTCATAACACAGTAACCAGACCCCATGCTCTAGTACAACACTATCACTCCATTAGGTTCCATTAGGATCTGGCCCAGAATTCCTAAAGCCAGTCTAATCACAGCAAGGAGCAGAAAGACAAAACAAACACGAAAACAAGCCCAGAAGCAAGTTGTTTTGTTAAGTGGGACCCAAGAGACTCAAGTTCAGGTCCGGAGTCAATCCTGGACCAGCTGTCCTTGGGGAAGTGAGTCCAGGCTTTCATTTCCCATGGTATTTTCCCACACCATGGGCACAGCATCAGGATAAACCAAGGAGCACTCAGACTCCTCTGCAGGCGCCAAGGTCTGGCTGCTGTGTGTAAACAGCTCCACTCAGATAACCTCTGCCTTTTGAAAAAGCAAAGTATCTCTACCCTCTACCCAACTCATCAAGAAAGACCACTTCAACTCCAGAATGGAACTGCAGAGAACTAGCTGTGTAAGTGAAAACACAACTTGCACAGACCAGAACTTTGAGCAGTGCCTTTCATGCTGTTCTGAAGGGAACACATTAAAAAAAAAGCTTTCCAAAGCCCTCGAGTGAGGCTTTCCCTATAAATTATATCCCATTTCAGCAGTGGTGTTAAGAGTCCTTTCTTGGCCTCTTGACAGCAACCCCCCTGCCTTTTCCAGACATGAAGCCAATGCTATGAGCTGGCTGTAGGATGATCAAATGTCTGCGCTTTTAAGTCTTCTTTTTTTGGTATTGCTTAAGTAGTTCTCCACTTGGACCACTCACACAAATGAGTAAATAAATAAGAGTAATCTCCATGCTTTCCTGCCAGCTTTTCATATAGATTAGCCAGCAAAAGGCTAATCCAGCACAGAGGAATTGAAAATTTCACTGCTGAACAATAAAACAGAACAGCTCTGCTTTCAAACTTCAGACTAGTCTGGAGTTTTGTCTGTTCTTGAGGTGGGGAGGTGCCTATAACTGAGTTCTCTGTAAAGTCACAGTGGTGCCAATTCCTAAATGTAGACAAAAGGAGGGATACCACGACCAAGATAATCAAGGTTTGCTTCTGCTTGAGAGCCTGTTAAGGCTGGGATATACTTTTCCAGCACATAAACAAGACAAGAACTTCACAGCTCCTCTAATCCCCTTCCTACTCCAAAGAGTAAACTGCAGTTCTTGAGTGCAGGCTCAAGCTCACCATGACAGAAAAAGTACCAATTTCTCCCGCCTCCCACTTGGACTGAAGTGGTGATATCAACATGAAAATCAGTACCTCTGAGCTGTGAATAGGCAATGCAGGTCCATTCTCCACGGCCATTTCCTACACAAGTACATCTCATCATGTGACCCATGTCATGCTGCTTATCCCACTGGTCCCCAACACGGTACATGACACCGTCATTGGTTGTGCAGATTTCTTCATGGGCTGGGTGAGAAGAAAGCAAGAAGATATTCACGAGGCCAGAATTCACAAGATCTTGAGGACTGAGACCATTTGCAAAGCCCCTTCATACCAGGTAGCAGTTTCTGCATCTTAACAAAGAAATTTTAGGCACACACTCAAATTTAGGCTCTCCAGCAGATCTACACCAGTCTGCACCAGCTGAAGAGCATGCCTATCACTGGCTTGTAGCAAGGAAGTAATGAAACTTGCCTTCTCCTGGCACTGCCTAAATCTTTGCTAGAAGTGGTCAATGGGGAAAAAAAGAACAAAACAAAAACTTCAGAAATGCCTTAAAGGGCTTTGGGCTGAGACACAGCTCATTAGAAATCATCAGTATCTGACCAGCAACAGAGAGGTCTTCACTTTCCAGCTCAAAGAGCCACATACAGGTTCTCCATAACCCCTTTATGGCTCCCAGCCTTACCAGCCATGGGGCAGAAGCCAAACTTCTGGTCAGCATCGTAGTTCTCAGTGGTTCCACACCACTTCATGTTGTCCCTCCGTCCCTCAGAAGTACAGTCAGTGTAGTTGCGGTTGTTGTACAGGAAGGGGAAGTGGCACAGAGCACCATTGGAATTGCCACCACGTGTCTGGACCAAAACTGTACAAAAAATGAAAAGAGAACAGATGCAAATGCAGCCTGCACTCTCTTAGCATGCATGGAAGAGCTTGGAAAACAAACCACTAGCACTACTTTTTCCCACGTGTGCCCTGTATATAATCCACAGACCTCTTTTCTTGGCTTTAATTAATTCAGATGTGGAAACATAAGCTTTGCACAAGGTCAGTTTGTTGCAAGCTTTGCTCTGGAAGGAGCTGCAGAGCCAGCCATGGGGATTCCCAGGAAACAGGGAAAACCAAAGCTTACACTGTTTGGGAAGTAACTTTGCAGATCATTTCTCCCAAAGCCTAGGGAATGAAATAAACTCACAGCTGTCAGCATACCTGTGTTATCTCACTGAAGCCATTTCGCAGTGGTGCCCTTCAGCTCTAAGGGAAGCCTTCACCCTCAGGAAAGGGTTACAGCAGTTCAGTTATGTACAACAGGACAAGCCAAAACCTCTCTGCAGGCTGGAAACTTCATGTTTTGCAAGCAGCAGTGGAAAGAGGGCTGTAATCTACCTGAACTAATCACCTCTTGAGCAACTGTGCTTTACAAATATTGGAGAACAAGAAGACATTTACTGAGATTTTTCTGTATCGCATTTCTCTTTTCCACAGTGTATCACAAGAAGCCTCTCTAATGTGCATGGATGAATGTGTGTATGTGCAAAGACAGTGTTTAGGTGTTTTTTGGGGGTAAGTTTGTTTTGTTTTTTAAAAAGAAATTATTACATGCCCTGTAGAGAAAGGCTTGACTTTCATCAGGAAAAAAACAGCCTAAGTAGAACAGAATTTTTAAAAAAATGTCTATGCAGTGTAAGAAGCATTATTTTCATGTGAATTTCACATGAAATATTATTTCCAAGGTCAGATCCCAAGAAGATGCCTGGACACTGCTCCATGGATGTCTGACAGGCATCTACACAGGTAGATAGATCTGTGCTGTGAAGGGAACACTGACCATCCACAGACAAGAGGGAATGCTGCTGCCTCAGTCATGCCCCAGCTCTTGATCAGTGGCCACAAATCACACAAAGATCACTGCTATATATGGCAGCCTGGTTAGAGAGCCAGGATGGAGGGAGTGACAGGACTGCACAAACTGTACTCCATGGATATCCTCCTCTTTGCAGCCTAATTTGGGCATTGCTTGAAGCAATTCATCCAAGCAAAGCCAAAGATAAGCATCCTTTGGGCCAAGGCTCCACCATGACCAGGTACTCCCACCATTCTAAGGTCAGCTCAGAAGACAGAACAGGACTCAAAGGGCACATCTGTAGCACCACCCTCCAAAGATGCCAAGTAGTCTGTCACCAGGCAGCCCTCCATTCACAGCACTGCCTTGCTGCCTTGAGTCCTTCCAGACTGCTGGAATTGGTCAGGCAGCCTGTTCCTGTGTCCTCTGCTCCTTCCTCCATCCTTCACATGCATGTGAAGACCCTCTGAGAAGAACTCACCATTCTGCTCAGTACAGAAGGAGTATCTCCTGTCCTGCTCAAAGTTGGAAGTGGTGCTGCACCAGAAGTGCCCATCTGTGCGGCCCTCGGTGGTGCAGGAATAGAAAGTCCTTCCATCGTAGGTGAAAGGCAGAACACAGGGCTCTCCATCAGAATTGCCACCATATGTTTGGGTCACAGCTTCAAAAACAAAATCACAGCATTAGAATGTGGTTTAAAGCAAGCCCCAGATCTCAGGGCTCTAAAACAGCAACAGCCCCTCCAGGCCAAGTCTCTGGCTGCTGGGAACCCACACTGACTGCCGTGGAGCCAGGCCAATGCACACCAACAGACAGCTCCATAGCTGTGGCACTCTTTTACATTCTTTTCCAAACATCTATTACTGCAGCTCCATTTGAATAAAATTATTAATGCTGCTCCCCAAGGGCTCTGTTTCCCCTCAGCAGGTTATATCTAGCTCACTGGGAAACGCTCCTGCCCCAAAGAACCAAAGCATTTCTTCCCCCCTTACTTTCTCCAGTACCTCTTCCTCAGAGGACATTTCTGCCATCCACACAAAGGGTTCTACTTGGAAATTAAACCACAAGACAGTCCTGGAGACCTCAGTGGAGCAAACAGGCACTACACACCAACTCATACCTATCTCCTGGCAGCTGACTCCGTTGCCCAGGCAGGTGCACAGCATTTGCTGGCTGCCCTGTGTCTTGAGCCACTGCATGCCCACCGAGTAGATGACGCCGTTGTCCGTGATGCACTGGCCGTAGGGCTGGGGCTGGGGCTGCTGCGGCTGGGGCTGGTACAGCGCAGTCTGCACGTTCGTGATGCTGGGAGAGCCAGAGCCTGTGGGACAGAAGGGACATGTGGCACGCAGAGCTCAGCAACAGAAGGTTGCCATTAAATGCTGAGATAATAAAACCTGAGGCACTCCGTCAGACGACACTTAAGCTTCCCGAGACGCGGCTTAATTATTCCACTTGGCAAATTTTGAAATTAGAAGAACGACTCCCCCTTTCTGCTAATGACAGCCTCTGCTTTCCATCCCTGTAGAGTGGCTTCAGAAACTGTTTTTCATACAAATTGTTTAGAAAACAGTATCTTTTGGGAAAAAAAAAAAAACAGTTGAAGGAAATGTAGAATAAAAAAGTCAAGATCGGTAGCAAAAGAATAAAAATTACCAAGGAAGTAGAAAGATGAGGCAAAAAGGATTAATTTTGAATTTTTCATTGAATAACTAGAAGAATAAACTAAAAATGTATTCTTTTACTCAGCAATTATTAGATATTTAATCAAAGCTTTTGGCACATTATCATTTGCAATAATACTGAGAGACAAAGAGGCCTGTTGTTGTCTACATCATATAAATTTTTGCTAATGATTCCCACAAGAACCTCCACAAATTCAGCTCTGGTGAAAGCAGGGAAGGAATAATGGAAACAAAATACTGGTACCCTTTTTTTTGAAGTTTAGACCTTCTGAGAGTGTTAAGGTAATATGATGGCACCAAACAGTTAAAGGTTATTTACCAAGAAAAATTTAATGCAGGCACTGCAGAAAAACAGAAGTTCTACATTGCACTCACTGATAAGAAACCTAGATCCTTAAAATGACAAAAAAAGAATTTAGGAGCTGAAGGTTTAAACCTTGGGCACAAAAAATATGCTACCTGTAAACTAGGCAATATTTCATACCAAAATTACAAGCTATCTCATGTACATGTATTAAACAGCATTGTATACATTCCTTGACATTTTTTGGGTTTTATAAGCTAAGCCATTAGTAGGTGTATTTATCATGTCAAAGAAACCAGATGGTCTCAGTGGGGTTTAAATAAAGGACATTTCCAGAAAATTACCCTGAGGCGAATACATAAAGTTCAAACATTAACTTGGAGTGCCGTGCTCCCAAGACAAAGATTGTTCCTGTGGATGCAGGGCCCTAGATGTGATTTACTGCCCTGTGATTGTGCAGGCAATCCCATCTGTACGTGCCAGCCCCATTTGTGCACAGAAACAAGGTACCAATTAATCTGATCTTCACAGGCACAAACAAGGAGCATCTTCTGAACTCTGACCTTCTTTGCTGCTGATCTTTCCCACACAAGACTCTGAAATACCTGAATTAGGATGGAACAACTCAACTTCAAGTCCTAACCTGTCAAAATACGCCGTTCCTCTTCCCTTTCCCTATGTTCCACGCCACGATGTCCCCCTTACCAGTGCTGGTAGTGTGCAGGGACGTGTGTCTCTCACACTTCCATTCGCCTCTGCCATTCCCGGTGCAGACACACTGCAGCAAGTTCCCACGGTTATCCTTCTTGCTCCAGTTGTCTCCAATTCTGTAGGAAGTCTTGGTGTCGTGGTCATTGCAGCGATCTGTGTGAGGAAAGTGACTCTCAGCTGGGCCTGCACTGGGTGGCTTCACTGTGAAGTTTCCAGCACTTGACCACTCATCCTTTAAAGGCTGAATTAAAGGCCCATCTCGTTCTCTGGAGCCCACTGTTGCAATTCCTACACGCACTAAAGCCTGCGCTAAACTGCACAGGCTGAAAGCATCCCCAAACCCTGGTGCTTTAGCCTAAGGAAAGATTTCCATTCATTTCCAGAATCGTGCTTTCACTTTGCAGCCATTGTCAAAATGAGCTATTCTTTAAAGGCATTCTAAACCCATTCTGTCTAGCACACACCTTTAAAGCTAAACTTGTTTTAACAACCCTTTCTTTCTTTTAAGAAAAGAAACAGGAGTCTTTGCAGCTTGGTCATTTCATATTATACACAGGGCTCTCTCACATCTGTTTGAGGGCAACATGTACAATCCCATTTCTTCCAAAAGAAGCCTGCATGAAGCTGCAGTGAAGTTAATACAAGCTGCTCAAGTAATACCAGGAGTAGCAGACTTTCTAAATCTCTTTAATAACCCACAGCCCCTGATGAATTGAGCAAATGGGTTCAAAGGACAGCACAACAAACTACTTTTGTCTGGATGCCAGAGCCACATGGATTAACTAGTTCTTCTTCCATTACAACATTTTACCTTCTTATTCAAGGGAAACTTGATACAGTGGCTCAAATATAATCACGGATCAATGAACATGGATTTATGAAGAACTGTGGAAGGACATATGCAATAAGCCAGATTGTCAATGAGAGAGCACATGGGACAGAATGCGAATGTGGAAAACATGTTACTGATTCACACTGCTAAGAATGACCAGAAATTGAGCATTTGCCAGAAGTATGGTAAATTGGTGAGGTATTCACCATGCAATTCTGAAAATGTGAAAAAAACATGTCTTATGGACACTTTTCTCAATGAAAAGCTGAAATGTCACTGAAGCAACCAGCTGTGATTCTGGAAAATGTTGGCCATAAAAAGATAAATAGCAGCAGCACACACTTGAAGTGTAATGTCATTTTGTAGCCTAGAGGTATCATTTTATATATATAAATTTGAATTTCTCTATTCAAATGTAATTGGAAAACAAAATGAAAAATGAACAGGTCCTTATATTTCAATTTCCCCCATGATACAACAGCACAGACCTGAGTTATGGAAAGAAAGCTACTGCCAAATACATTTTATTAGTAATAATAAGTCCTCCCAAATTCACAAACAACACATTCTGTTTTATTCATTCCCATTTGACAGCTAATGATTCTTCCCCATATGCCTTTAACAGACTTAATATTGTAAAGGCTGGGTTGATTTTTATAGCTTATTTCTTGACCAAGCCTCTCCAGATCTTCCATTTTAATCTCAACCCTCCTTAGTGTCTTATTCTTTACAGGTCTGCTGGTTATATCAGCAAAAATCCATTATTTGTGTGCCCCAAGGCAACTGAATATGAGGCAATTGAAAGGCTACAGAAAGGTTTCTTAAAACTTGCATAACCAAGGCGTAAGGTACAAAGTTAAATCTTCTTGAGGCAACTGGTGTAAACCTGAAGCAGAAGTAAGCTCTGTTGTAGAGCTAACAGGACTGGAACAGAAGGTAAATAAACAAGCAAGATTTTGGGTTTTAAAAGTCCTGTTTGCTCTGCAAATACAAATAAAATGGAGTATTTACGGTACTGTCCCTCAGTGATGCAAAAACTTTTTAAAAAAAAATCACCTATGCTGGTGGGGCAGGAAATGGGGCGGGAAAAGTGATAGGTGAGATGGTAGAGCAGGCAAAACAAACCCTGGTTTAGCTAACACATAAATTAAACAGTAATAAAGAAGAAAAAATATTTTAATCTTGCAGATCCTGCCATTGGAAAGGGTATTTAAGTTAAAAATCACTCGACTGCCCCTCAGAAGGCTCCATGAAAGCACAGAAATGGACATCCTAGGCTAAACTGCCCTTTTGTGGGCCAAGCGATTTCCCTGACTTCCTGTGCTGACAAAGAAATAACTTTCCATTCCCATGCAGGATGAAAAAGAAGTAAGAAAATACACAAAAAAAATAAGTGAGATAAATAAAGCGGCTTGCCAGGCTAGCACTTACTTCTGGAGGTGCAGGTGATGCGGCCGCTGCCCTCACCGAGGCAGGTGCAGTCCACCATCATCCAGCCCTGGTAGGGTTTCTCCCAGGTCTCTCCCACCACGTAGGACGTCCCGGCCGTGTTGTCGTAGCACCGCTCGGCTGTGAGGGGAAAGTGGATCAGAGCCCACCCAGGGCGTTCCCACACGGGGACACCTCAGGGAAGACAAAAGGCCCAGACGGCCTGACAGCGCTGAGGGGGAAGGAAGGAGCCGGCACTCACCCACAGGCTTGCAGGTCCACTCGCCCTTGCCGTTGCCCAGGCACACACACTCCAGCATGTAGCCGCCCGTCTCATGGGGCCGGCGCCACGTATCGCCGATCTTGTAGGACTGGCCGCCCTCATGGCAGCGATCTGTGGTGGGAGATGGGGAAGCCGAGTGAGGGACACACCAGGGATGTGTAAGGTAAGGGCCATCTGGCCAGGGAAAAGGGGCAGCAAGGAGGAGGAAGGACACTGAGGACAGTGAGGGGGAAAATGGCATAAAATGAGCGTAAAATGGCACTCAACATTTCCCACTGGCACCTGCCCTTTTCCATCGGCACCCACCACTTTCTGCACTTCCCAGGCCCTGTCTTCCTCCCTCAGCTAACTTCTCCATGTTCCAAAGCCTGGCTGGTGAAAAGGGAATGCCAGGGAGCGATGAGGCGATGTTTCTCCCTCAGGCCGTGCTCTCAGTCTGAGGGCTGGTGAGAAAGGCTTTGCCTCCATCTTGTTTGAGGCAATGCCCCTTGGGCTTCTCTGCGGCCATCCATGAGGGACATGGTGGCCAGGACAGCATGTGGAGGGTAAGGAGGTGCTTGGTGTGACAGCCCAGTGGGAAATCAGAGCTCTTTTGGGGTTTGGAAAGGCAGATTCCAGCCCATCAGTGCCCCACAGCTCTGAGGCAGCCCAGGCTGAGAGAGGGTAGCATGGTGCAGGGCCTGTGTTTGCAAACACAGGGTTTTTCTTTCGAAGAATCCAAGGGGGAAAAAAAAATAGAAAGAAAGAAAAAAACACCCACATCCCATCATTTATTAAGAGCCAGTAAAATGTTTTGTGGGCTCATTTATGAAAGCAGGGAATCTCAGAGCTCTGAAGATTGATTCAAAGCCAGTCGCAGTCAGTGAGACTCTCCAGTGAGCTCTAAACCAGGCTGATGATGAGGAAACAAGGCTGCTCTTACACTCGCAATTTCCTTACTGACTCTCTTTCCTACAACACTTATCATCCCTGCCCACTGAAATGCCATTAAATTCAGAAGGGCTCCAGTTTTACTTGTTAGATTTAATGCATTATTTTTTTCCCATGCTACAATGATGGCTGGTTTCCGAGTCCTCTGTGGCAACACTACTAGGATCTGCATGTGTGTCTTAAACAAGAAACTGGATACTTTTAACAGCAAGACTTTTCTCAAAAGGTACCTCAGAGACTTTGAAATCTCAGTATAAAAATCCTGACACACAGCAATCTTCCTCTGTGCTCGTATAAAGTCCAATTATGAACTAAAGGGAAATTGTGAACAATTCAGTGACTCAATAAGGAAAGGATTTCCAGACAGCGATGTGAAAGGGGAGCTGGAGAGAAAGGACCAAGGGAAGAGAGGGAAGAGCAAGAGGGAAGTATGGGTCAGGCTAGTGAAAAAGGAGCTGTAGAAACATGTTAAGCTGCTGTCTGGATATCAAATCCCAGTTCCCTTAGAGACAAGTGTTCAATGACATTTTTGGAGGATGAAGGACTGGCTCGCAGGTGGCATTAATTTATTATCATTTATTCTGAGTAGTCCCATTAATGCTAATGGTGTTATTTTGACCCAAGAGCTGCAGTGCAGACTTTTTTCCCAGTCAAAAAACTACTTTTATAATTGTACCTGTGAAGATGTAGCACACTCTTATGCATAATAAGTTACTAGCCTGTATGGCTGGACACTTACAATAATTTTTGGCCTATGTTTTCTCACATAGCACTTGACCTCTTAAATAAAAGAGGAGTTTGGTTGTGCAAATGTACGCACATGGGGCAAGGACTTTTGATTTCAGAGCTTTAGTGGGCTTTGGATTAAACCCCACGAAACTGCAGCTAATAGGCACTGGGAATAGTGTGTAAATTGCTCTGGAAAATATGATACTAAGGAACAATAGCTCTAGGAATAGGCCCTTAGTTACATACTGGCAATGGTGCAGCTGATTCTCCCACGTCCAGCTCCAATGCAAGTACAGTCCCAGATCATGGAGTCCTTGGGGCGCTCATAGGTCTCCCCAACTCGGTAAGTGGATCCAGTGTATTTGTCAAAGCAGGTCTCTTCAGCTAAGAGGGAGAAAAAAAAAAAAATAATCAGCTTCATGTAACCACACCAGTAACATGTACAGTCAACAGAAACACATTCCTTGCCTCCTCACACAGATACTCCTTCTTTCCTGGGGGAGAAAAGTGCCTAGCAGTCTCCTCTTTGTCATGGGACAAACAGCAGAGAGGAAGTTGGGTGAAATTTGCCTCCTCAAAGCCCCCATGATGCTCAACAACCTCTTCTTCCCTCCCCCAGGGAACCAGAAGTTGCACATGGCAGGCATGCCTGAAACCATCAATCCCAGCTGTTTGAAGCCAACAGCAGAGAAGACAGGAGGGAGCAAACAACCCCTGGAAACTGTGTGCTTTCTCATGCTAATCCTCCTCGCTCTGACTTAGCAAGAATTGAGTAGATTAATCCCAAATTCTGCAGCAGTCCCACCAAAGTCAACAGCAAAGTTCACTACTTGTGTATTGCTCACACTCATGCATAGGTAAGTGATTACAGAACATCAGTGCTGCCACCAGATTCAAGATGTGAAGCAGAACAACTTCCTTCACTGCTGGGCAGATAAAGCTCATTGTGTCATAAGGAAAACTTCCTACTGGACTTCAAAACTGTAAAACTTGGGAGTCTCTGCAGAGGAAGGAAAAGTGGATTGAACCCTCTTTTATGGAGTAAGGGAACTGAGTACTCCTTAAAATACTCCAGCCGTGAGGCAGGCAGCACACAAACCTCGCTGAACAGATGGCTGAGATGTTCACATCGGTCTTACATGAACACTGTCAGCCAAGAACCAGTTTTTCATCTCTTCTACCTCCACAGCAACATAAAGGAATTATGACAAACCAGTGGTTTCAGACCAATAAATACAGATAGATTGCATCTGATAAACTGAACTACACCGAACCCTGGAGAGACGCATCCTCCAGCAGACCTTGCATTTAAACTTCTTTCTGTTCCCTAAACTTTTTCTGCACAGACTAAACAATCTCATTTTACGCTCAATTATAGAAAGCTCACAGCACGGCCAGGAGGCTGTGGAAAGTTGCAAGTTGAAATACTTTTAAACAAGCTGACGACACTGCACAGCTATGAAAAGTTGGGGTGAAGCAATCAAACAAAGCAGAGCCAGAGCTGCAAAGTGACTCCAGATTTGAACTTCCCCGTGCAAGTCCAGGAGTCAGTTCAGTTCATTATAAAGAAGAGGTTGGCTCCAAAATTAATGTTTAGATCCAATCCTCCAGAGAGATGAGTGATGTTTGGCTCAGGGTTCTGGTGGCAGGCCCATTGCTAATGAAAGGCATTTCTTAAAATCCCAAGCCAGATCTTCAGTGAAATTGAGTGTAGATCCCATTACTGACCCTAAGTACCAAACTTCAGCGGAAAACCTGGGCTGCCAGCCCTAACTCGTACGAGGCTTGGCTTACTCGGCACCAAAAGCCGCGCTGGGGTCTCGACGGAGACAAAAGGGGCCACCAACTTACGTTCGGGCTTGCTCTCGCAGTTGAACCCTCGGCTCCCACCGTAGCAGGTACAGACCAGAGTGTTTCCCAGGTAAGTGCGCTCCCACTGCTGGTTTATCTGGTAGTACCGTCCATTGTCATAGCAGGTCTCTGTGGGGGAGAGGAGCGGGGATGCGGAGGGGGGAAAAGAAAGCGAAGTTCGGCGTTACCGGGGGCAGCAGCCGGGAGGGAAGGGGCGCGGGGCGCACACGTGTGCGGCTCGGCCGGGCCGAGGGGCGGCGAAGGGCGAGCAAGGGGGTCACACAAAGCCCCCCGCGGCCACCGGCGCTGCCAAGCCCCGCTCCGTTCCCTGCCCAGCCCGCGGGCTGTACTCACGCTTTCCCTGCGCGGCGGTGCCCTGCGGCAGCGAGGTGGTTTGGGTCTGCGCCTGCCGCCGGCTCTTGCCGCCGGCTCCGCGGCGATGTCCCCCCGCCGCCGCGGCCCCCAGGCAGAGGGCGAGCAGCGCCAGCCGCCACACGGTGCGGCCCGGCATCCTGGCACGGCTGGACTCGGCACGGCTCGGCACGGACAGCCCGACGGACGGGACGGCGCCGCTGGCCGGGCGCTATATAGGGCGGGCTGGGCGGGAGGAGGCGGCCGCCGCCGCCCCAGAGCCCATTGGCCTCGGCACCGCCGGGGGCCGGGCGGGGGCCGCCACCGCCCCGCCGAGCCCCGCCGAGCCCCGCCGGGGTGGGAGGCCCGGCCCCCCTCAAGCACAGCGGCCGTGCCATTTTGTAGAACATCTGGCTGAACAAAATGGCTTTTTTTTTTTTTTTTTTTTTTTTTTTTTGGAGGGGAGAGGCAAACTTTTCCTTTTTTTTCCCTTGGAGCAGCGCTGCTTGTAAGCGGATACTGCTCCGTTCGGGAGGAGTAATGTTCTGCACAGGGGAAAAGGTGAGGTGTAACATAAGGGTTGGAAATAGAAACCCTGAGTGATGTTTTATCTGCTGCTGGGAACTCAAGGTTAAAAGCTTTCACACCTCATTTGGAAAAATCGGTGTCATTGCATTTCATTCAAAATAAATTTAACACTTTCTCTGACTTTATTTCTTGCTGAATAAAATCAACTCTGAGAACAAAAGAAAAGTGAAAAAAAAAAAAAAGAAGTACTAGGTGTTGAACCTTTATTAAGTAGAAGGGTTCTTCAGTGTGATACCCTGCTGTACACAAATTTTGTCGGCCTCTTCCATCTGTGTTCTTCCCATGGGCATCTCTGCTGGTTTGGGGGGGGTGTGTGTATCTTTTCCCCAGTTTGAAGGAATACTGCAAGGCAGAGGGTGTGCACTGTAAGTGTGGCTCTCAGGCTGCCAGTGAGCAAAGCACAGTGCATGCCCCAGTCTGGTACGGTGCCTGGACCAGCACCCAAGTTCAGACCATACAGGAAGGTTGTGTTGATAACCATTTTCATGCTTCTCACACGTACTTTGTCTTGGCAAAGGGATTGTTAATCTGAAAAGTCTGCTCCACTTCCTGATGTATGAAGGCAACTCCTCAGACAAACCTGGGTGTGAAGTTGCTTACAGTTTTTCCAGACATCCCTAAGGTGAACATCCACAGCTCTCCACAAGAGTTCTTCAGCACGTTGAGCACCGCGGTCTGGGTCCACCTCCTCCAAGCCCACTGTGTTCTCTTTACTGAAGCAGCAATATCACTCTTGGGATGAAGACTATGTCAGTAGGCAGAGTACAGATCCAGCACGTGCTCTGTTCCAGGAAAACATGTAGTTGTGATGTCAGCTATCTGTTTTCAAGGAAATTTCCCCTCTATAAGGAGTGCCCACAGATACATTTACACAATCAACTCTGCTGAAAACTTACTGGAAATTGGAACCTGATGTGGCAATTGAGGTGAGCTGTGGTGAGCTAATTCCCACCCTTCCTAATTTTTATTTTTAGATCCACTGCACTGCCACTTTTTTTTATTTATCTATTTTTTGGAGTCACCAGACACACATTATCCCTGATAATGTTCACAGAACTAAGGTCACCACAGCAAGGGAAGCAGAACGCAACATCATAAACCAGCAAATACTCAGTTTCTTGAAATGAGAACCTGCTTTCAGAAACTGTTCCTGCTTTTCCGAGACCTAAGATGTGATGTGTCATCCTCAAATTCCATCTCACATTCCACCTCATGTCTGGGATTCTCTGATAAAAGCCAGGTGAAAAGCACATTGTAGAAAATATTGCTGTTTGAGTGTTGGATGTACTTTACCTAACCTGCTCCAAAGGAAGAATTACTGAGTGGAAATCAGTAGAAACGAGGAGTTTCCATCCTGGGAAACACATACATGCAATGAGGAGGCAATTTGAGGTCATTTTTCCAGTTACTGAGTATAGAACCAATGAATGTGTGAACAGACCCAGCTGCTGATACAAGCTGCTAATTAAGCTCAATTGGCATGGAAAAGGAAAGGGTTATGAGAAGTCTTCAAGGACAGCAGGGTTATGATATATAGAATTTGCTCAGGGAAACCTGCTTAAATATAAGAGCTAAGTACCTAAGAAATAGGATAATGGAACAACAGCGGAATAAGCAAACATGAGGAAGAAATACCTTTTGCAATTATTTGCAAGTGGCATTTAAAAAGTTCATGTATCAGGTATAGCTCCCATGAAGGCTAAATTATTGACATTTACCTCATTTCTGTCTATTTTAAGTCCGGTTCATGTTATTTTGCACTGCACTTAGGTCTTCAAGGACAGTATAAGTATTTACACAAACTGAAAATTGTCTGAAATTTGATTAAGAAAAGACAGTGTCAGCAAGTGTGTGACTGTGTCTAATGCTTTCCACAGAATTAGTTACACATATGCAGAGACAAATGTAAAATCCCTGTTTGAGAAAACATCACTGGAATAACACAAAACAAAATTATAATTTCCAGTGATGCTCAAATTAGTTTCTTACATAGCCATCATTTACAAGCTGGCAGAAATAGTCTTACAAGTAGTATTTCAAGATGATTTGGAACAGCCTGATTTTTTTTTTAAAGGAATCACTGACAGTAATTACAACACAAGCATGTAGTAATTATTATATTGCATGCTGTTAAACTTTGTGAGATGTCTCTTATTTATTTCAGGAAATGGATGTAGCTCCTTTGTCTGTCCTTCTGTCAGTTTGTCCCTCAAGCTAACGGGAAATGAAAGGAAGATTCACCTGAAGTCTTCCTTCAGATGACATCAGTTTGCATTTATAAACCACCCGTTCATGGGTTCTTCATCCAAATAAGGATTAGGAATGTCCCAAACCTCTGCTTTAGCCATTGGTATTATGATTCATGTTCTTGGTCTATTCCAATTTTTTTTTCCTACTGAAATCCTACCTTTTTGATTCTTGGCTAGGAAAGGCACATCATACCCTTGTAAGGCTCTCCTGACTTTTGTTGCTCCATTGTATTGCTCTGCAGATAAACCTCTCCTCTTGATTTCCCTTACTGCACACACTTGTGGGGAGCCACACGTGTGACTGGGAGCATGGACTGCTTCAGCAAATTCCAACAGCAAAGAGAGGATGAACCAGTACATAAAGGACCAATCCAAGCCACTTGTTGTTCTATAAGCAACACTAGAAAAAAAGACCACTCGGGCTTAATTATCTCCTTCTAAAATTATTGCTTATAAGGAACAAGAATCATGAAGAGAAAAGGTCAGGATTCCTCTCCTTGACATAGGGACACCATTAAACGCTTCCTGCAGTTCCCAAATATTTTGCAAGAACCCCTGTTGCGAGCTGAAAATTTCTGAATCATCACAATTTCAAGTCTGTGGTTTTTGTTAGGTCACAGCAAAATTCACTTCAAGGCTGCTGAGGCTCTACTGCACAGTGTTTCATTCACTGCTGAGCGTCTCATCCAGGAATCCGGAACATCTCTCTTGAAATGAGATCCATTCCTTCTGCCCATTAGCTGCAGCTTCAGGGAGATGTAACTTTATGCCGGCTCTCAGCACAGAAATGAATTTCATCGGGTATAAATGCTCCGTGACAGGACATTAATTGCATCCTTGGCACTCTCAATGGAAATTCCTTCTCTTCTCCCTCCTCCCTAGCTCTTCCCAACGAATTGAATTGTTCGGTGTCATCAACACAGAAAAATGCGTTTCCTTTCTCTAGCCGTCCGTGGATTAGGGTATTTAGTTTGGTCTACCCAAATTGTTGTAGCTTGCCAGTGATGAGAAGTTTGCAGCCACAGCTCTTGTTTTGCATTAGAGTCTGCTGTACTGCCAGCTTCAGGCGTTTAACCCTGGTGAGCCACTCCCTGCAAAGTCAGGGGAGCAGCTTTGGAGGGCGAGGGGGAAGAGGTTTCCACTCTTTCCCAGGTAAAGGTGCTCTCCTGGGGCTTTCAGGTTGGTTGTTTGTTTTCCTGCCTTTCAGTGAGGTGTTTACATCACATAGTAGTGATTTAAGAACAGAAACTGAGATCCTGACATGCTTCCCGTTGCCAAAAACAAAACACCAACAAAAATGAGAACTCTCATTAGACCCCCAATAATGGGAAGGCAGGCAAGTGGCATGGGACAGTCCCTCATTCCCAGGTGAAGCTTCTGGATGGGCACCACCAGCTTCAAAGAGCTGAAAACCTGTTCTTCATCACATTTTGTTTGGCAGAGACTTTCACAGATGCCTGAATCCTACCCATGCTGCCCTAAATCCTTTGGATGCCCCATCCTGATGCCCCTACAGGGAGTTCTGCAGCACTTCTGGGAACTCTCAGGACAGCTCTGGAAGTCTGAGTCGGTGTTTCAGGATGTGTCATCAGCACTGCTGATTGGGACTGTGGGACCTGGCTTGGTGTCCAACACCAAGCACAGTGGGGCTAGCTCTTGAAAAATGTTATTTTAGGTAGAGTTGGAATTATTTTGTCTCGAGGACTGTTCCATCTCCCAGTTGATGTATGCCCTGCTCACATTCTGTTGGCTGTTTTTATTTAGTCATTACGGGTTTCTAACAATAATTGGACTTTTGACTAATAAAGGGTTTTTTCTTTTAATGAAAGGGCAACAGTCAGTTATGTCCATTTTGTTAGGATCACTTGAATCTCCCTCAAAGCCCAGAAACAGAGCTGAAACCTTCCCTTTTTCCACAGCACTTTTAAAAGCACTAAAGCAAAGTGAAATAACGCTGATATCACCATCAGCAGCATGAGGTGAACTTGGCCACAAACCCTGGTGTTTGAGTGCAATTCCTTTTATTCTCTCCCAGTGAATATGGCAAACCACACTGAGTCTTGTTTGGTTTTAGGCAGGCCTGGTTAAAATCCAGAAATAAATGCTAGTGCTGGGTTGAGCTTGGCTTGCTGTGAGGAAGTTGAATACACTGAGCAAGCAAACAGCCACATATTATGACGATTATAGGGGAGTGCATAAGGGGTTGAAATTCAGAGTCACAAAGGGCTGAACTGAGCCAGGAGCATGCAGAAGAGAAATGTTTTGGCTCCAAGCTGCAGTTTGTCCCCTGTTTCTTTCTTACCCCTTCCACCCAGCATTACAT